GTATTGTTTTGTCCTGTTATAAACGTGCCACTGCTGTTTACTTATACTGTATATAAAGTCACCGTGAACACATACTGCTGTTATATAAAGTCACCTCCGTGAACACATACTGCTGTTATATAAAGTCACCTCCGTGAACACATACTGCTGTTATATAAAGTCACCTCCGTGAACACATACTGCTGTTATATAAAGTCACCTCCGTGAACACATACTGCTGTTATATAAAGTCACCTCCGTGAACACATACTGCTGTTATATAAAGTCACCTCCGTGAACACATACTGCTGTTATATAAAGTCACCTCCGTAAACACATACAACTGTTATATAAAGTCACCTCCGTGAACACATACTACTGTTATATAAAGTCACCTCCGTGAACACATACTGCTGTTATATAAAGTCACCGTGAACACATACTGCTGTTATATAAAGTCACCTCCGTGAACACATACTGCTGTTATATAAAGTCACCGTGAACACATACTGCTGTTATATAAAGTCACCTCCGTGAACACATACTGCTGTTATATAAAGTCACCTCCGTGAACACATACTGCTGTTATATAAAGTCACCTCCGTGAACACATACTGCTGTTATATAAAGTCACCTCCGTGAACACATACTGCTGTTATATAAAGTCACCTCCGTGAACACATACTGCTGTTATATAAAGTCACCTCCGTGAACACATACTGCTGTTATATAAAGTCACCTCCGTGAACACATACAACTGTTATATAAAGTCACCTCCGTGAACACATACTACTGTTATATAAAGTCACCTCCGTGAACACATACTGCTGTTATATAAAGTCACTGTGAACACATACTGCTGTTATATAAAGTCACCTCCGTGAACACATACTGCTGTTATATAAAGTCACCGTGAACACATACTGCTGTTATATAAAGTCACCTCCGTGAACACATACTGCTGTTATATAAAGTCACCTCCGTGAACACATACTGCTGTTATATAAAGTCACCTCCGTGAACACATACTGCTGTTATATAAAGTCACTGTGAACACATACTGCTGTTATATAAAGTCACCTCCGTGAACGCATACTGCTGTTATATAAAGTCACCGTGAACACATACTGCTGTTATATAAAGTCACCTCCGTGAACACATACTGCTGTTATATAAAGTCACCTCCGTGAACACATACTGCTGTTATATAAAGTCACCGTGAACACATACTGCTGTTATATAAAGTCACCTCCGTGAACACATACTGCTGTTATATAAAGTCACCTCCGTGAACACATACTGCTGTTATATAAAGTCACCTCCGTGAACGCATACTGCTGTTATATAAAGTCACCGTGAACACATACTGCTGTTATATAAAGTCACCTCCGTGAACACATACTGCTGTTATATAAAGTCACCTCCGTGAACACATACAACTGTTATATAAAGTCACCTCCGTGAACACATACTACTGTTATATAAAGTCACCTCCGTGAACACATACTGCTGTTATATAAAGTCACTGTGAACACATACTGCTGTTATATAAAGTCACCTCCGTGAACACATACTGCTGTTATATAAAGTCACCTCCGTGAACACATACTGCTGTTATATAAAGTCACCTCCGTGAACACATACTGCTGTTATATAAAGTTACCTCCGTGAACACATACTACTGTTATATAAAGTCACCTCCGTGAACACATACTGCTGTTATATAAAGTCACTGTGAACACATACTGCTGTTATATAAAGTCACCTCCGTGAACACATACTGCTGTTATATAAAGTCACCGTGAACACATACTGCTGTTATATAAAGTCACCTCCGTGAACACATACTGCTGTTATATAAAGTCACCTCCGTGAACACATACTGCTGTTATATAAAGTTACCTCCGTGAACACATACTGCTGTTATATAAACTCACCTCCGTGAACACATACTGCTGTTATATAAAGTCACCTCCGTGAACACATACTGCTGTTATATAAACTCACCTCCGTGAACACATACTGCTGTTATATAAAGTCACCTCCGTGAACACATACTGCTGTTATATAAAGTCACTGTGAACACATACTGCTGTTATATAAAGTCACCTCCGTGAACACATACTGCTGTTATATAAAGTCACCTCCGTGAACACATACATGTCTGTCAAAATTATGAAATAATTGTAACTTGAGTAGTTTGTTAATGCGCTGATTATTACATTGTCTGTCTTTTGAAGAGATGAAATCTAATTGTAGGTAAAGATATCTGACCATTTGAATAGTGCTTTTTTATTAAAATCAGAGCGACAGGTCATGCTCTGCACACTTTATTAAAGTCCCTGTTTGAGCACTTGAATTTCTCTTTAAATCCAGGAAGTTGAATACATTTCCTTTGTCATCTAAAATGTCAGAGTTTACATTTTTATATTTTTTGTGCCAGCTTTGAATGAATAACACTTTCCTGTTTGATGTTGTTGCACGATTATTCCACAAGGTGGAGCCATAGTATCTTTGTGGGTAAATGCAACACTTGTTTATAATAATCAGACCATTTCAAAGGCATTTTGGATCCTTCAAACTCACTCTTTAAAAAGAACTCAAACCCCCTACTTGATCAAAAATGTGTTTGGGAATACTATACCATTTTATCCAATTAATTCTAAAGACGCCAATCATTGACAATGATTGGTCAATAGTTTTTAAGCCTCTTTATCATAGTCTTTGATGAGTTGTGCCTTTTTGTATAGTGAATTTTATTACCCCAAACGAATTGATATAATCTAGAGTTAGAGCCATAATTTAGTTTATATTAAAATGTCTAACAATTAAAATTACATACATCTATCCATCCATTTTCTTCCCCTTAATCCATTTCTGGGTCGGGGGGGTGGCAGTCAGAGCTGCACCCAGTCCACAGAGCACCAGCCCCTCACTGATCCTCCTGCAGGTGCTGAGTCCACAGGAGCTGAGATCTTTCAGTGGGGGTTTCAGGCAAAGTGGGGTTAAGTTTCTTGCCCAAGCACACAACAACAGCAGTCATCAGTGGGAGTCGTGATGTAGGTCTTGAGGTGGGCTCGAACCCACGACCTTCAGGCTCTAAGGCCAATGTTCTACCAACTGAGCTACTGTTGCCTCTTAAAAACATCCAGAAATATAAATGAAGCTGAATGCGCAGGTTCAGACTGAAAGACCAAGTGCCTGCCAGCCTCGAGCCTCAGCCAATCACACAGCTCTGCCAGCCTCGAGCCTCAGCCAATCACACAGCTCTGCCAGCCTCGAGCCTCAGCCAATCACACAGCTCTGCCAGCCTCGAGCCTCAGCCAATCACACAGCTCTGCCAGCCTCGAGCCTCAACCAATCACACAGCTCTGCCAGCCTCAAGCCTCAACCAGTCACACAGCTCTGCCAGCCTCGAGCCTCAGCCAATCACACAGCTCTGCCAGCCTCGAGCCTCAGCCAATCACACAGCCAGGCCAGCCTCCTGCCAACCCTCTCACAGCAAAGCGGGCAGTTTAAAAGGCAGCCACTTCCTGACAAGCAACGCTTCCTGAGGCTCTTACACCCACCACCTCCCCAGCACCTGCTCTGGCTCTTGGCTCCCGCTCTGGCTCCCGCTCTGGCTCCTGCTCTGGCTCCCGCTCTGGCTCCCGCTCTGGCTCCCGCTCTGGCTCCCGCTCTGGCTCCCGCTCTAGGCTCCCGCTCCGGCTCCTGCTCCGCCTACGCCCCATTCACACCATACTCTAGCCACCACCAGTGATTGACCCCGGGGGATCTGAGATCATCTTCAGCTGCAATCAATCTCATTGCTGCAAGTGTCACTGCCGGGGTCAATGCGCCAAACAAATAAATAATGTTATTGTATTAATTGTGTCTTTGGTCTCTTCAGATTGAATATTGATATTTCATATCAATATTCCTTGTTTGGAGCTAAAGAGGGCGGGACAATCATATGGGACAGGTGCGGGGTATGGGATAATGAGACCGACATGGTTTTTGACCACACGCAACGACAACAAACTCACCTCCTGGATTTTAGTATTATTATTATTTTCATTATTTTTGACAAATAACAGCAAACTTATTGTGTATTGTTTTCCCTGGTTTGACGAAAACGGGCTTCTGTGCGTCATATTGGTCATATTGGTCATCAGTGTGGTTATCGTCACAGATGTGGACCCGAGCGTTTCACTGCCTCTCGAGGCTGAAGGAGAGAGATCGCTTTCTTACTAAAGATTGACAGAATCAATGAATAAACTACTCTGGGCATGTGTACGAGGCCAAATAGCACTGTAATCATGTTTAAAGCAGAGAAAAGTCATGTTTCAGCCCTACACAGTATAAACAAGGGACAGTACTTTATAATGACAGCATAACAACACAGAAAACATCTGCAACAGACTGTGCAAAGGCCTAAAGAGACACGTTGCTTTTTCAACTTTAAAACAAACAACTTTATGGAGGTGGACAAACGAGAGAGTGCCTGCAGAAGGAGTATGAGTCAGGTTTGTGGAGAGGCAAGCCCCCTCACAATCAGGATGCATGTTCTGTACTTTTGATACAGTTTCCACTGCCAAACAACACACAACGTGAAACCAGCACAAGTTCATCCAGGAGAAGAAAATACTGCATGTATTGGGTAAAAAAGATAAAATCATATCATTACAGCAAAGTAGAAATGTTCCCATGTTCATTTCTCTTGGCAGACAGAGAAGAATATATAAAAACAGTTAATATAAACTGGGCTAAGGAGTATGTCCCACTGACCATGACACTACAAACTCAATTAGATGCATTTCTGAGCCGTTACGCTGCAGCACCTTTCCACTGAATCACTAGAATTGTTCGTCTGAGGACATTCAGAAAATAGAGGCTCATAGTGATTGGGACAAAACAGGAAAGGAGTGGGAGGAGGAGAGGACTTTCCGCTTACTTCACTCACGGACTGGGACTTGTGCGTCTGCTGGACTGGGAACAGTGGAAAGTACTGCAACAAGTGAACAGCACACTTCAGCTTCGCCATGGAGGTAATTACTGCCATTTATATATTATGTCATTTTTATCTAATAGTCAAGTGGCAGCTTTAGTGCTTAAGGAATTTAAAGCAAAATACAACTTTGATTTTTCATGTTGGACTTCATTAACTTAACTCAACCACGTATCTCACTTTTTGTTTAATGAATGATACAGTGGCTTGAAATAATAACAACAACCACTTGAACTGTTGTTAATGAATCCTGCTTCTGAGGGCGTAAGCAAGACAAGTGAGAAATGAAGGAAACATCATCTATCATGTATTAAATTGGAAATGATAATAAATAAAAGTATTCATGCTGAATCTGAGAATGGCACCACTGCCCACATAAACCAAAGGTCGGCTTCAGAGTTGTATGTGGCTCTTTGTGATGGCACCTTTGGCCTTGACATTAATGAACATTTCTTATTGGTGCAAGCTCACAGCATGGAGACTGGACAGCAGTGCTCGCTCTCATGGACGTGTGAGCGTTCTGGCCAATCACAGCTCAGCTGATTAAAGCAGGGCTAGAGAGGGACAAGAACAGGCTGTGTTTATTGAACAAAAGTGTGGATTTACAGAAAACGTATCATTTTAAAACCGACCTTGGAGGAGGATGTAGGCTCCCTCTCAGCTGAGGATATGTTGTTTCTGTCAGCGTTGTTGTCTATGGTAAATCTCCCTAGGTGGCCGAGGCTGCAGTAGCATGGGTGCTCCACCATCATGCTGACGACCTTATCCAGATAATATATTACATCCTCGAGCATAATGCGCTGTGTGATGGAGAGGAGTGTGCACAGACGGGACATACTGTATGGTGCACATGTTTGTTCTTTACATATTTTATTTCCATTGATTTGATGTTAGTAAATGTTCTTTATCTTAGAAACCATGTTGTCTTTTGCAGGGGTCAGTATTTGACTTAGTGAGGGTGGTGTCAGACATATTATACATAGATACTTACACATGGGGGCGACAGTGGCTCAGTTGATAGAGCATTGGCCTTTGAGGTCAGGAAGGTGTGCTGTTGTTGTGTCCTTGGGCAAGGCACTTAAGCCAGGCACTTTGCCTGAAGCCCCTGCTGAAAGACCAAGACTATGCCACAGAGCAGCCATGCTCCTGTGGACTCAGCAGCTGCTGTGAACTGGGTGGTACTCTGGCCACCCCCTTGACCCAGAAATGGATTAAGGGGAAGAAAATGGACGGCTGGTTGAACATAGTTTCACTATTTGGTTTGAAAAAACTGCAGCTTTAAATTCATTCTAAGTAACTGCAGATGTTTTATTCAGCTATGTTTATGTTGGTTTTACACAAAATTGTGACTAGTAACTTTTAGATTGTGTTCTATTTTGTGGCTCCAGAAAACTGTCAAAAAGACACTTACAAATCTGAGGAAACTTCTGTTCACCAACGCTCTCCATCGTATCTGAGGTTTAGTTAAAATGATTTGTAAAGACTAACGGGAAAAAACACTTTCTAGATGTGTAAAAGACTGCTGAGTACAGATGTGTAAAAGACTGCTGAGTACAGATGTGTCATGTTCATCATCGAAACAGAAGTAAAGATGGCTGACCTACAGAAAGATCACAACAGGACATGGAGCTCCGGATGTTTTAGTTTCCACTGTTTCCGCACTCTAGAACAATAGCTCTGCAGCCACAGTTTGAAGACAACTCCCTTTCACTGGAGCACAGTTGGAGCACAGCAGAAAGGTCTCCGTTCATAATGTTCAAGTCAGACACCAGTAGATTTCTTCTTCTTTTTAGTGTAAAGGCCTGCACTACGCTGCCAAGTCATCCATGTATCACAGATTCAGTTGTTCACAGGAGTTGGAGCTGATTCGCTGTGACAGTCTGGACACGGCCTCACTCAGTGACCAGGACCTACCGCTGACGTTGGGCTCAGAGGCTCTGGAGCTACCTGCAGGCCCAGAGCCCAGCCCCACGGAGCTGGCCCAGTGCGAGGCCGAGGTGGGAACACTGCTCACCATCATCGCAGAGCTCAACAAGAAGATGGGCTCACTCAAGGCTCCCAGGTACAGTTTACTGTCACACACATAATGCACTAAAGGTTATTGTCACATGGACTAATAAGGAACCTCATGACCAACACCAAGAGCTGCATTTCTGTTTAGCCCTGATTAAGCACACGCAGGAGGCCACTAAGCACACGCAGGAGGCCACTAAGCACACGCAGGAGGCCACTAAGCACACGCAAGAGGCCACTAAGCACACGCAAGAGGCCACTAAGCACACGCAGGAGGCCACTAAGCACACGCAGGAGACCACTAAGCACACGCAGGAGGCCACTAAGCACACGCAGGAGGCCACTAAGCACACGCAGGAGGCCACTAAGCACATGCAGGAGGCCACTAAGCACATGCAGGAGGCCACTAAGCACACGCAGGAGGCCTGTAAGCACACGCAGGAGGCCACTAAGCACACGCAGGAGGCCACTAAGCACACGCAGGAGGCCAGTAAGCACACGCAGGAGGCCACTAAGCACACGCAGGAGGCCACTAAGCACACGCAGGAGGCCACTAAGCACACGCAGGAGGCCACTAAGCACACGCAGGAGGCCACTAAGCACACGCAGGAGGCCAGTAAGCACACGCAGTAGGCCACTAAGCACCGCAGGAGGCCACTAAGCACACGCAGGAGGCCAGTAAGCACACGCAGGAGGCCACTAAGCACACGCAGGAGGCCTGTAAGCACACGCAGGAGGCCTGTAAGCACACGCAGGAGGCCACTAAGCACACGCAGGAGGCCAGTAAGCACACGCAGGAGGCCACTAAGCACACGCAGGAGGCCTGTAAGCACACGCAGGAGGCCTGTAAGCACACGCAGGAGGCCACTAAGCACACGCAGGATGCTTGTAAGCACACGCAGGAGGCCTGTAAGCACACGCAGGAGGCCACTAAGCACACGCAGGATGCTTGTAAGCACACGCAGGAGGCCTGTAAGCACACGCAGGAGGCCACAAAGCACACGCAGGAGGCCCTGTGCTTCATAGGTCTAACATGTCACATATGTAAAGCGGCGTGACAGCACAGAGAGACTTGTTCACACGCAGAGACCTGAGTTCAGAGAGGACTTATTGTTCTGGTCTCAATCGTCTGTGATGGTACTTCCTGGATTGAGTCAGGATTCTGGCAGAAGCATGTTGAATATAAAGTGGTTCCTTGTCACAGGGTCACATTTTATAAAACAGACCATAAAAAAACACCTACACTCACTCATCCTGATCGTGCGATTGCAAAGATGTCCAATCTGCAAAACACAGCTGCTAAGGACACTGTAAAACACAGCTGCTGAGGACACTGTAAAACACAGCTGCTGAGGACACTGTAGAACACAGCTGCTGAGGACACTGTAAAACACAGCTGCTGAGGACACTGTAGAACACAGCTGCTGAGGACACTGTAAAACACAGCTGCTGAGGACACTGTAAAACACAGCTGCTGAGGACACTGTAGAACACAGCTGCTGAGGACACTGTAGAACACAGCTGCTGAGGACACTGTAAAACACAGCTGCTGAGGACACTGTAGAACACAGCTGCTGAGGACACTGTAAAACACAGCTGCTGAGGACACTGTAGAACACAGCTGCTGAGGACACTGTAGAACACAGCTGCTGAGGACACTGTAAAACACAGCTGCTGAGGACACTGTAGAACACAGCTGCTGAGGACACTGTAGAACACAGCTGCTGAGGACACTGTAGAACACAGCTGCTGAGGACACTGTAGAACACAGCTGCTGAGGACACTGTAGAACACAGCTGCTGAGGACACTGTAGAACACAGCTGCTGAGGACACTGTAGAACACAGCTGCTGAGGACACTGTAGAACACAGCTGCTGAGGACACTGTAGAACACAGCTAACACAGAAAAGTACACTGTGCAGTCAACTCTACACGTGGACTGCACAGGACATGTATTACCTTTGCCACCTGTCACTCTCAAGGGCGAGGCAATGGCTGTACACATTAGAAATAGTAGAAGAATCAGGTATGAGCTGTAGAAGTGAGGCTGCAGCAGGTAGAAGCAGGGAACAGTAGTCATAGATTCTGGTAACAACGATACAAGCCGCAACAAGCAAGACTTTACCCTGCATAACTCACTGTGAAAGCCTGTGGTAAGATCCTGTGGAGGCCCAGGGAGGTCACGCAGGGCTTCATCTTAACTCCTACTCTACTCTAACACCCTTAGGTGTTAGAGTAACCCCTACTCTAACACCTAAGGGTGCCTTAAGCCCATCACACGAGTGGCAGCATTATATTCAATTTCATTAAAAAATATATGTTGTTATCAATAATTATTTTGAGTTCTTTCATGCTTTATGAGCTGAACTTCTGCAGTGTCAACATGTTTCCCAAACTTTAGTTAACGCTTATGAAGAAGATGACATGTCTGGGATCGCGTCTTTAATTCAGACAGAAGACATGTTTTATTGTCGATGGTAGAGACAGCACGATCAACAGATACAACAGATACAACAGAATGCAAGTGTATTATACAGAGCGTTGGCATGGAGACCTCCAATCAGCAGCTGCCACAGTGTGCTTGTAGCTTGGCCTTCAGATAGACAAAACAAGGGAAAAGTACTGGCTTCTGCACATTGATAGAATGATGAGTTTAACTTTAACAAAAGTTGCTTCAAAGTGTTATGAAATCTCACACTTATATGCCTGTATCGTCACATTGGCCTAAGAGATAATTGTCTGGCACATTTGATAACTTTACCTGAATCCAGGTCTGCATGTACTGCATGGTACTGCATGGTACTGCATGGTACTGCATGGTACTGCATGGTACTGCATGGTACTGCATGGAGTACTTCTGTTCAGCTTTTTCCTAAATTGTTAAGATAGAAGCTCCTTTGTTTGTTAAAATATTATAATTCAACACATTGTGTCAGGAAATGTGTGATCCTCTGACTTATATGCCATTCATACGCTTCTTGTCTAAGTGAAAACGCAGCATACAGCTGCAGTGGACACACTGTAAAATACAGCTGCAGTGGACACACTGTAAAATACAGCTGCAGTGGACACACTGTAAAATACAGCTGCAGTGGACACACTGTAAAATACAGCTGCAGTGGACACACTGTAAAATACAGCTGCAGTGGACACACTGTAAAATACAGCTGTAGGAGACGGTAAACACAGCATTAGGGCAGAAGCAGGATTGAAGCTGTGAGAAGAGAATGGTAATCCTCTGAACTCACAAACGTTGTCCTCTGTAATTAAGGGTAATATATTGGTAAAAATATCATGTTTTTCGGGCGACAGTGGCTCAGTTGGTAGAGCACTGGTCTTTGGACCTAATTTTCATGGGTTTGTGTGTGTGTGTGTGTGTGTGTGTGTGTGTGTGTGTGTGTGGTTCTGGTGCTGTGTGTGTGTGTGTGTGTGTGTGTGTGTTTGTGTGTGTGGTTCTGGTGCTGTGTGCTGTGTGTGTGTGTGTGTGTGTGTGTTTGTGTGTTTATGTGTGTGGTTCTGTGTGTGTGTGTGTGTATGGTTCTGGTGGTGTGTGTGTGTGTGTGGTTCTGGTGCTGTGTGTGTGTGTGTGTGTGTGTGTGTGGTTCTGGTGCTGTGTGTGTGTGGTTCTGGTGCTGTGTGCGTGTGTCTGGTTCTGGTGCTGCGTGTGTTTGTGTGTGTGGTTCTGGTGCTGTGTGTGTGTGGTTCTGGTGTAGTGATCCTGGAGGAGTGAGAGCGTCTGCTGTCTCCAGGCCTCTGGTTCCTGACCTGTTGTCTCACAGACTCAAACAGCCGGAGAGGACTCGTCTGGAGAGTGCTTCATCCAAACCTGCTTTCATGGACCAAGGTCAGGAGTGGGACTATTCACCTCTAAGTAGATAATAACAAAACCTTCTATGGTTTTCTAATAAAGTAATAGCTTTTAATGTGCTCAAAATCTCTTTGAAAGACATTTTGTTTTGTAATAAAACCCATGTCTCCAGTTCCGGGCCCTCAAACAGGTTCTAACACTGGTGTTCATATATATTTGGGCCTCTGTCACATCTTTAGAGCAGCTTTTTCAGAGAAGACAGATGCTTTGACTGCCTGTCTATTTTACTAAATGTAGTAAAGATTATATTCAATTCATTTTTGTCATTTTTATCACAACAGCAGCAGAGGACATTAAGATTAATGGATCCTTTTTCCATCCCACTGTGGGGAAATGTCAGTGTTGCATTAGAGTTACAGAACAGTAGGAATTAGGAGCAAAGAACACAAGATAAGTGAATACAGCACAACTCTGTACTTCAAAAATAAAATAAAATATCTATCTTTAGCTCAACAAAGGAGTCAGTCAGTCAGTCAGTCAGGCAGACAGTCAGTCAGTCAGTCAGTCAGTCAGTCAGTCAGTCAGTCAGACAGTCAGTCAGTCAGTCAGTCAGTCAGTCAGACAGTCAGTCAGTCAGTCAGTCAGTCAGTCAGTCAGTCAGTCAGTCAGTCAGACAGTCAGACAGTCAGTCAGTCAGTCAGTCAGTCAGTCAGTCAGTCAGTCAGTCAGTCAGTCAGTCAGTCAGACAGTCAGTCAGTCAGACAGTCGGACAGTCAGTCAGTCAGTCAGTCAGACAGTCAGTCAGACAGTCAGTCAGTCAGTCAGTCAGTCAGTCAGTCAGTCAGTCAGTCAGTCAGACAGTCAGTCAGTCAGTCAGTCAGTCAGTCAGTCAGACAGTCAGTCAGTCAGTCAGTCAGTCAGTCAGTCAGTCAGTCAGTCAGTCAGTCAGTCAGTCAGTCAGTCAGACAGTCAGACAGTCAGTCAGTCAGTCAGTCAGTCAGTCAGTCAGTCAGTCAGTCAGTCAGTCAGTCAGTCAGTCAGACAGTCGGACAGTCAGTCAGTCAGTCAGTCAGACAGTCAGTCAGACAGTCAGTCAGTCAGTCAGTCAGTCAGTCAGTCAGTCAGACAGTCAGACAGTCAGTCAGTCAGTCAGTCAGTCAGACAGTCAGTCAGTCAGTCAGTCAGTCAGTCAGTCAGTCAGACAGTCAGTCAGTCAGTCAGTCAGTCAGTCAGTCAGTCAGTCAGTCAGTCAGTCAGTCAGACAGTCAGACAGTCAGTCAGTCAGTCAGTCAGTCAGTCAGTCAGTCAGTCAGTCAGTCAGTCAGACAGTCAGTCAGTCAGTCAGTCAGTCAGTCAGTCAGTCAGTCAGTCAGTCAGTCAGTCATGAATACATAAATGAATGACAAATGTGTCCCTGGCAGGTGCAGTGTGGTGCAGGCTGCAGGATGTGCTGTCTTCAGTGGAGGAGTCCGTGAGCTTCAGGAGGTCCTGGGCTGCTCCCATCACCGCGGTGGATCTGAACAAGCACCGGGAGCACCTGAGAGCGGCCCAGCGTAGCTCCGCCAAGGCCAGTCAGGTACCAAGGCTCTCAGGGTGAAAGACAAGGCCAGTCAGGTACCAAGGCTCTCAGGGTGACAGACAAGGCCAGTCAGGTACCAAGGCTCTCAGGGTGACAGACAAGGCCAGTCAGGTACCAAGGCTCTCAGGGTGACAGACAAGGCCAGTCAGGTACCAAGGCTCTCAGGGTGACAGACAAGGCCAGTCAGGTACCAAGGCTCTCAGGGTGACAGACAAGGCCAGTCAGGTACCAAGGCTCTCAGGGTGAAAGACAAGGCCAGTCAGGTACCAAGGCTCTCAGGGTGACAGACAAGGTCAGTCAGGTACCAGGGCTCTCAGGACAGATCTGAGCAATTCTAATTAAATATTTTATTGCGACTGTTCAATACTGTAATCAACTCGTGGCCACACAAATGAAACATTTTTTTTTTTATTAATCATTCATCAGGAAAGAGTTGTTCTGTTTAGAAAGTTTAGAAAGACAGACTCCCTTCTTCAGGTCTATCTGCTGTATCTAAAGTGCTGAATCTTTTCCTCTGAGTGTCTTCTCCCCTCACCATCCAACACTTTCATTTCCACTTATCTACATTCTTGCACTTAAATCAGTCTTTGAATTATTTTTTGTTAAAGTATATCTATTCGAACAAACAATTTGAAAAAGTACCTAAATTAATGTAAAAGATTTCAGCTCAGTTCTTTTCCAGCTCTGCTCTGAGGTCTGTCAGTGAAACAGGTTCCTCCAGTCCAGGTCCATGTTTTCATGAGGAAATAAATCCTGTTTTAACATGAACACGGAAAAGACTAAAAAATGTTGCCAAATTTCCTTTAGTCTCCTTGATCCATTAAAGTGGATAATCTGGTCCGATGTCCCTGTCCTAGATCCTGGAGGACATGGAGAGGGAGTTTGGCATCTCCTGCACCACAGTGACCAAGGAGGAGAACAGCCGGCAGAACCAACAGGAGGTTCTGGAGCGGGCCCACTGCGTCAGCCTGATGGAGGAGGACCGGGACAAGGTGCTGCAGATATTTATATCCATCCATTAGGATTCAAAGGGCTATACATTTACCATTGTCCAATACTGCACAACTTTTCCGATGGTTTTTATACTGCAAAAAATTATCAAATATGAGATAATAATTGCTTGAATTGAGTTGTTTTTATCTTTTTAAGTTCTTTCTGACTGTCTTAAACAGTGCTCAAATTTAGAAACATTCAGCAACATTTGAGTATTTTTTGTCTTTAATTCCATCATTTTTTGCAGTGTAGACTAAATTAGGAATAAAATAAATGTTTTTGTTGTTGTTGAAAATGTACAATATTGATTATTTATGAGTTTCAAAATGTGAGCCAAGGTAAAGAGATCGTCTTTGTGTGTGTCCAAGGATTGGAGACTTATATATTTGTATAACTTATTATTATCAATTAGACGTAAATGATAAAAACTGGTTAGTCAATAAAACTAATGTCCCATTTGGGGGTAATGGTAATTTCTTTAATTGTCAAAAAGATAACAAAATAAAAACATCAGGACTGTATGACTATACAAGCACTTCTTTATTTATTTATTATATTATGTCATATCATAAAACCAACTTCTAAAACTTCCAGAAACACAGAGAATACAACTTTATGCTTCTTTAATCTTATAAATATTGTGTGGTCTTGTCCTGCAGTTGGTGAACTTGCACAGAGTCTGGAGGTCTGGGCCACACTCTCCCTCCTATAGACCCAGAGTTGGGTCCAGCTCTGGGTCCATGAGTCCAGACTGGGCCTCCCCCCCGTACCCCGGCTCTCCTCTGCCCCAGCGCAGGGCGACTCGAGGACCTGCATCTCTGTGTGGGACCAGGGACTCCGGGAACATTCCATGTAGCAGCCCCGTAGACCCAGAGGTGGAGACTGACAGACTGAACAGGTTTGAAGAGATCTCTATTCTTCTGCTTTTCTCAGAGCCGGGTTTGGAGGCAGCAGTCTGAGCAGAAACGCCCAGGGCAGCTGTGGCTACAGAAGTAGTTTAACACCACCGTGTTTGAAGTGAAAGGATAATAATGTGAAGCATCTTTGAGTGCTCTATATAAAACCAAAGCATTATTACTATTATCATTCATGGGGCGCCTTTGAGCCGATTTATTTGGCTCCAGCTCATGTCTTTGCCTCCGAGGTGGACACTGAGTTGTTGCTCATCGTTGGGAAATGGCCTACTTGTTCTTTTCAGTGTTCCCACACAGACAGCAGTTATGCACGTTAGAAACACGCACCTTGAAAAGTATTTGCAGACGCTTTTACTGTTTGCCACCAGTACTTAACATATTCTTGATAAAAGTACAAATATTATTTATTTCTTATGCAAAAAAATAACAGTTATTTACAATAACTGAACTATAACAATATGCTGATATCAGTCTAATAATCTGACTGTTTGCACCTAGCATGCATGTTGTTCATAATAGAGTGGAGAGTTCCCTCTAATGATTGAAAATTATTCATTTTTTTTCATCTTGACAAACAAGAAAGCAGCGAGCTGTAACCCAAATGTCCAAACCTTCCAAGGCTGTGCCAATATTTAGACTTTCCCAAATGTTTTAAATACAAAAAACTGCGTGTTTCAACTTCTGACTTTGTAGAAAGTAATAAAACATAATTCTGAAAAATATCCTCTGTGGATTTTGTGTTATAAAGCCAAATAATCATAACTGAAATAATAAGTGTCCTCTAACAGAGAGAGAGACTGCGGGTGCTGCTCAGTCCAAGATGGCGCCTGTGTTTGGCTGTGTCTCTGCTCGTCAGCTACAATGGTGTTTTCCTGAGTTTTTCATAACATGCTCTGCCGTCCTGTCTGCACTGATGGCCAGCGACTGTGCCGTGGCTCTACGGACTTACGATCGCAGCTCTCTTTTTAACATTAAAGCGTTTATGGAGCTTCAATGACAGCTACAGGAACACTTTTCCACCCCCGTTGACCTTTGCCGCTACTTCCCATGAGTACCTGTGGCTGTTACGACCCCCGGGTAACTCAGATCAGACGAGCCGCTTGGAGGCTGTTTGGTCTCGCTCGTCCAGCGCAAAGCTACAGGTGGCTGCGTCCCATTCCCCTCCAGCAGCAGGGCGCGGGAAGCAGCGCTGCCTACCCACCTTGTCCCACCGGGTTTCCACTCTACAGGGGACCAGACTGGACCCATGGTGGAGCAGACTGGACCCATAGTGGACCAGACTGGACCCATGGTGGAGCAGACTGGATCCATGGTGGAGCAGACTGGACCCATGGTGGAGCAGACTGGATCCATGGTGGACCAGACTGGACCCATGGTGGAGCAGACTGGACCCATGGTGGAGCAGACTGGACCCATGGTGGAGCAGACTGGACCCATGGTGGAGCAGACTGGACCCATAGTGGACCAGACTGGACCCATGGTGGAGCAGACTGGACCCGTGGTGGAGCAGACTGGACCCATGGTGGAGCAGACTGGACCCGTGGTGGAGCAGACTGGACCCGTGGTGGAGCAGACTGGACCCATGGTGGAGCAGACTGGACCCGTGGTGGAGCAGACTGGACCCGTGGTGGAGCAGACTGGACCCATGGTGGAGCAGACTGGACCCATAGTGGACCAGACTGGACCCATGGTGGAGCAGACTGGACCCATGGTGGAGCAGACTGGACCCGTGGTGGAGCAGACTGGACCCATGGTGGAGCAGACTGGACCCATGGTGGAGCAGACTGGACCCATAGTGGACCAGACTGGACCCATGGTGGAGCAGACTGGACCCATGGTGGAGCAGACTGGACCCGTGGTGGAGCAGACTGGACCCGTGGTGGAGCAGACTGGACCCGTGGTGGAGCAGACTGGACCCATAGTGGACCAGACTGGACCCGTGGTGGAGCAGACTGGACCCGTGGTGGAGCAGACTGGACCCGTGGTGGAGCAGACTGGACCCGTGGTGGAGCAGACTGGACCCGTGGTGGACCAGACTGGACCCGTGGTGGACCAGACTGGACCCGTGGTGGAGCAGACTGGACCCGTGGTGGAGCAGACTGGACCCATAGTGGACCAGACTGGACCCGTGGTGGAGCAGACTGGACCCGTGGTGGAGCAGACTGGACCCGTGGTGGAGCAGACTGGACCCATAGTGGACCAGACTGGACCCATGGTGGAGCAGACTGGTCAGAGCTCTTCATGGTCAGGCGCCTGAATATATCAAGGGCCTGATCCACCCCTATGTCTCCAACAGGAGTCTGAGGTCCTCCACTCAGAACCTGTTGATGGTCCTCCACTCAGAACCTGTTGATGGTCCTCCACTCAGAACCTGTTGATGGTCCCCCGCACTCGCTTTAAAACCAGAGGAGACATTTTATTGATTGACTGCGGAACCTTCCGCAGTCAACCATTGGTTTTGTATTTCTTTATTCCGTCATTTTTTTTGACACGTTTCACAGCTTTCACATTTTCAACAATTTCCACAAGTTATACATCAAAACGTTCCACATGTTTGGGAGATTATTGCTATTACTTTTGGGACTTCAGCGATTTCCGGTTTTTCCGCAATCGGACAAAAATCTGCATTGAGAATTCTGCAATGCATTTTAATAGGCCCATGCATTTTAATAGGACTTCAGCTCTTTCAGACATTTCTACAGTTTCAATGATTCAACAGTTTCAAGGATTCAACAGTTTCAAGGATTTCAGCAGTTTCAAGATTTCAAGAGTTTCAAGGACTTCAACAGTTTCAAGGACTTCAGCAGTTTCAAGGACTTCAGCAGTTTCAAGGACTTCAGCAGTTTCAAGGACTTCAGTGTAATCATGCAACCTAATAGGGATTTTTCCATGTAAACCAGTATAATGCAACTTAATAGGGATTTTTCCATGTAAACCAGTATAATGCAACTTAATAGGGTTTTTTCATGTAAACCAGTATAATGCAACTTAATAGGGTTTTTTTCCATGTAAACCAGTATAATGCAACTTAATAGGGGTTTTTACATGTAAACCAGTATAATGCAACTTAATAGGGTTTTTTCCATGTAAACCAGTATAATGCAACTTAATAGGGTTTTTTCCATGTAAACCAGTACAATGCAACTTAATAGGGATTTTTCCATGTAAACCAGTATAATGCAACTTAATGGGGATTTTTCCATGTAAACCAGTATAATGCAACTTAATGGGGATTTTTCCATGTAAACCAGTATTATGCAACTTAATAGGGATTTTTACATGTAAACCAGTATAATGCAACTTAATAGGGATTTTTCCATGTAAACCAGTATAATGCAACTTAATGGGGATTTTTCCATGTAAACCAGTATTATGCAACTTAATAGGGGTTTTTACATGTAAACCAGTATAATGGAACTTAATAGGGGTTTTTACATGTAAACCAGTATAATGCAACTTAATAGGGATTTTTACATGTAAACCAGTATAATGCAACTTAATAGGGATTTTTCCATGTAAACCAGTATAATGCAACTTAATAGGGTTTTTTTACATGTAAACCAGTATAATGCAACTTAATAGGGATTTTTCCATGTAAACCAGTATAATGCAACTTAATAGGGTTTTTTACATGTAAACCAGTATAATGCAACTTAATAGGGGTTTTTACATGTAAACCAGTATAATGGAACTTAATAGGGGGTTTTTACATGAAAACCAGTATAAAGGATAACAGTTTAAAGGATATCAGGAGCTTCAAATACTTCAGGAGTTTCAAAGATGTTTAAAGTATTTTAACAGTTTCAAGGATTTCAAGGATTTTTCAGCTAAATTCCACATTAGATCTGTTCCGCAGTCAATCGCAATGGCTTCAGCCATTGCAACGGTTTCTAGTTTAATTTATTGTTTATTTGGTTGGGACAGTACAGGTTCATGAACACATCACTCCGGATTGAAGCCATGGGCTAATTTGCATCTGTTGTCCCTCATTCACACATGTTTTTAGTGGTAGGGGAAACCGGAGAACCTGGAGGAAACCTACGCAGACACAAGGAGAACATGCAAACTCCACTCAGAAAGGCCCGGTTCCAACCGGGATTCGAACCCAGAACCTCCTTGCTGAGAGGCAAAAGTGCTATCCACTGCTATCCTTCGCCCACGGTAGATCCTTCCAGGCAGTTGCTCCTCGCCTTTGGAATGAGCTCCCTCAGTCTCTGCGTATGTTAGAGACTGTTGAAGATTTTAAGGCTGCGGTCACATGCGCAGCCTAAAGCCTGGTTTAAGTGAGCCAGGGCTCACTTTGCGATGTGATCCGGGGCTTTAGGTTCCATGTGACCGCTGAAAGTGAGCTTGGGCGTGATTGCTCCAATCGTGCTCTGGCTCGAAGACTTGGGCCAGGGCCCACTTTGTAAAGCCCAGATGAGGGGGGTCAGTGTGGGGGGGAGTAGGGGATGAGGTGTGGTGGGGACTTGATATTGTGCGTCACATTAGGTCTTCCGTTGTGAGGTACATTTTCACACTTTCGCATTCTCCACTTGTGTTAAAACTTTTCATATAAGCCCCCAGACCGTGGTCGAGGGGCGCAGGGGGTGTGGTTGAGGGGCGCAGGGGACCGTGGTCGAGGGGCGCAGGGGACCGTGGTCGAGGGGCGCAGGGGACCGTGGTCGAGGGGCGCAGGGGACCGTGGTCGAGGGGCGCAGGGGACCGTGGTCGAGGGGCGCAGGGGGCCGTGGTCGAGGGGCGCAGGGGACCGTGGTCGAGGGGCGCAGGGGGCCGTGGTCGAGGGGCGCAGGGGACCGTGGTCGAGGGGCGCAGGGGACCGTGGTCGAGGGGCGCAGGGGACCGTGGTCGAGGGGCGCAGGGGGCCGTGGTCGAGGGGCGCAGGGGGCCGTGGTCGAGGGGCGCAGGGGGCCGTGGTCGAGGGGCGCAGGGGGGTGTGGTCGAGGGGCGCAGGGGGCCGTGGTCGAGGGGCGCAGGGGGGTGTGGTCGAGGGGCGCAGGGGGCCGTGGTCGAGGGGCGCAGGGGGGTGTGGTCGAGGGGCGCAGGGGGTGTGTCGCTGCAGGGTCAAAGGGAAACGTTTCCTACAGGAATAACTCCCTCACAGTGTGGTGCTGTTGCAATAACACTTCAGACATTCAAGGATCAGACTTTATTATTCACACACACACACACACACACACACACACACACACACACACACACACTTGTATCCTGCCTGTCTCCGGTCGCTCTGCTCGTGCGCCACTCTTTTCATTCTTTCATTCTCATTCATTCATTTCTCAGCACTCTGATGCTCATAAGAGGCGCGCTCCTGTGTCCGCGGCGCACACACACACACACACACACACACACACACACACACACACACCCACACACACACGTTACCCACTGAACCCACTGCACCGCGATCCGTACTGAGCTGTTAGCTACAGTAGGTGTTAGCTACAGTAGCAGAGCGTAAACAGGAAGAGAAACGGAAACTCGGACAAAGAGGTCGTCCCTGGAGTTAGTTTTAGCGCCACCAGCTGGACCGAGCGTTGTACTACAGCACAGTTGCTCTGGCACGGTTGGGAGAAGAAGCTCATGTGACCGCGGGCCGTTTCCACACCCTGTGGCGACGATCCGGGCCACTTGGCCCAGTTCGTTTGTAAAACCTATGCGACCGTGCCCATAAGTCCTAATTTAAGACCTATTTGTTTAAACAGGCCTTCTTACCCCACTGTTCATAGGCCTTTGAACTGTGTTTTTCTGTGTTTTTGTTTTTAAATCTGACCTGTATGTGCATTTTGTGTGTTTTAATGTGTGAAGCGCTTTGTGATCCTGGTCTGTGAAATGTGCCATACAAATAAACTTTACTTACTTACTTACTCAACATGTTGAACATGTTAGAGGACACTGTTTAATGATTGTTGCTTGTTGTCTATAAGAGAATTTGTCGTAACGATTCTTTTTTCTAAAAGGAACTAAATAATAATAATCTACACAAACCATGAATCTCAGAGGAATACTAATTACTGTGGAAAATGTGCTGCTTGAATAACTTGGACATCAATAACCTTGGAGCATCTCCACGCTTTTCATCATAACATTGTACAACAGTGAGGCTGAGTCCGCCAGAACATTTCTATTAGATATTAGACCTGAATCCTTTCACTCCTACATTCACAGTTCAAGGTGCTATATTCAGTTTCAGCCCTCTCATCCGGTCTATTTTCTATTCAGCAGATACGAGCTGCTTCCCATGTGCCGAGACCACGCTGCACAGAGGGGCACTGCCTGCAGAGCTTTGTGCACAGGCCTTGGGTATGATTGGTCCATAGCCTCCAGCTCTGAGGCACCGCATGAGAGTAAATGCACAATAGTTAAGTCTTTCTCAGCTCAATCTGTCCTTCACAAGTATATCTATATTTGTTTTGATAGATTACATTTTGTATTGAAACCTGCACACATTTACACATAGACCTAACAGAAACAAACATACTTGACACTGATACAAATCTCACATAACAATAAAAATAACAATTGTAAACCGCTTTGTGACTCTGGTCTGTGAAAGGCGGTATATAAATAAAGCTTACTTACTTACTTACTTACATATTGAGCGGCAGTACCTGAAAAGAGGTGGTCTGAGAGCGGCTGGGCTGCAGCAGGGCGTGTGTTCAGTGAAAGGGACGGAACCCTTCAAGAGACAACACAAAAACACTTGCATCCAGATACATGCTCTGGCCTGCTTCAAGTCTTCCATCATTGTTCCTGTCTCCATGAAGACTGGAATCACTGGACTGAATGATCACATCTATCGTCATGAAGTGATCTGAGTGCCAAGTCACCTCCGCCCTCCTGGAGCCCCTGCATTTTACCGATACAGAGCCAACAAATTATTAGACCATGCCCTAAACTTGGCCCTCCACTTCGACCTGCTGCATCAGAACTCCCCGGGAACCTGTGCCAGGGTCCAGTTTGTCAACTTCAGCTCTGCCTTCAACATCACCCAAGCTCTCCCTGCTAAACATGCAGATGGATCACTGACTTTCTAACGGACAGGAAAAACATGCATCTGGGGAAGAATGTAATCCAAGGATCCCAGACAAACACAGGAGATCCTCAGGGCTGTGTTCTTTCTCCCGAGCTCCATTCCCCTCAGGGAGGAACATGGAGCACACAGTCCATTAGGACCAGAACCTCCCTCTATTTCCATCCCCTCTGCAGTTGAACACTTCAGAACTAATCACGAGGTCCGGGCCCATTACACTCGTCACTTCAATAAACAATGGTTGGCAATTCACTGACATTGGATACGTTCGTACAAACGACTGAAGACATTATTTGCGAGAATTAATTTATTGCTGTACGAGAAATGTGGTTACGATTTGGCGCTTTGACCCCAGAAGAGTATGGCATGATGATTGCAGAAGGGGAAATGAACATAGAGATTAAGAGATTAAATCCCGGGGCCTAGACCCTGGTGGTGGTAGTGGAGGGTGGAACATTGAGCACAGCGAGCTTTCGTTCTTTCTGTTTTCTCGTTTCAATTGTCGCCTCAGTCAAGGGCCTAATTGTTTTACTACATTTCTAAATTCAAAATAATCTAATAAAGGACCTCTGCAATATGATCCCATTACCTCCACGCTGCTGTGTTCTAAGCCCCCTGCTCTCCCACAGTGTGATTTAGTTCCTCTGTTATTCATGAAAATGGCGTCGTAACTATTTACAAAATGGATATCCTCAACTATTGTGGGTTTAAAACAATAATTAACTTGTTGTGGTACACATATTTGCAATTGTTGTTTATCACATCGACATCTCTGCATTGCCCTGTCCTTTTATATTGCCTATCAAAAGACAAAGTCATTGCGAATCAAAAGACATGCTCACTCTGAAGCTGTATGCTAGCTGGCCATGAGGGAAGGAAGCTTAACGCTGATTGGTTAATACAATGTGTGTTGCTTTTACTGGCCTTTAGTAAGACATGATGCTGAATAATGATTGGAAAACGTTGACTAACGTTGGAAAACAATTAAACTAAGTGTATAGTCTATGGGAAATAATTTTACACATATTTGTGTAAAAACAAACATATAATCCTCATTACGTTTTGGCCGGTAGAAAAGAACTTGCTGACCTTGAGGATCCACCACTGGATTATTTTAGACTGAAGGAGTGACATGTGTTTGTTCCAGGCTCGTGGAGCGTCTGAGGAGTCGGAACGAGCGGCTGGCGTTGGCCTCAGAGCGAAGGAAGAAGGAGCTGGAACACATGAGCCTGAGCGTGACCCGGCTGGAGGCGCACTGCTCAGGGCTGCAGCTGGCCCTGCGCTACGGGTGACCCCCACCCTGTGACCCCCACCACCACCCTGTGACCACCGCCCTGTGACCCCCACCACCACCCTGTGACCCCCACCACCACCCTGTGACCCCCGCCCTGTGACCCCCACCCTGTGACCACCACCCTGTGACCCCCACCACCACCTTGTGACCACCGCCCTGTGACCCCCACCCTGTGACCACCACCCTGTGACCACCGCCCTGTGACCCCCACCCTGTGACCACCACCCTGTGACCCCCACCCTGTGACCCCCACCACCGCCCTGTGACCACCACCCTGTGACCCCCGCCCTGTGACCCCCACCACCGCCCTGTGACCCCCACCCTGTGACCCCCACCCTGTGACCACCACCCTGTGACCCCCACCCTGTGACCACCACCCTGTGACCCCCACCACCGCCCTGTGACCCCCACCCTGTGACCCCCACCCTGTGACCACCACCCTGTGACCACCACCCTGTGACCCCCACCACCACCCTGTGACCCCCACCCTGTGACCCCCACCCTGTGACCACCGCCCTGTGACCCCCACCACCACCCTGTGACCCCCACCCTGTGACCACCACCCTGTGACCCCCACCACCACCCTGTGACCCCCGCCCTGTGACCCCCACCACCACCCTGTGACCCCCACCACCACCCTGTGACCACCACCCTGTGACCCCCACCACCACCCCTGTGACCCCCACCCTGTGACCACCACCCTGTGACCACCACCCTCACCCTGTGACCCCCACCCTGTGACCACCGCCCTGTGACCACCACCCCCGCCCTGTGACCACCACCCTGTGACCACCACCCTGTGACCACCGCCCTGTGACCACCACCCTGTGACCACCACCCCCGCCCTGTGACCACCACCCTGTGACCACCGCCCTGTGACCACCACCCTGTGACCCCCACCCTGTGACCACCACCCTGTGACCACCACCCCCGCCCTGTGACCACCACCCTGTGACCACCGCCCTGTGACCACCACCCTGTGACCACCACCCTGTGACCACCACCCCCGCCCTGTGACCACCACCCTGTGACCACCACCCTGTGACCCCCACCACCACCCTGTGACCCCCACCCTGTGACCACCGCCCTGTGACCCCCACCACCACCCTGTGACCCCCACCCTGTGACCACCACCCTGTGACCCCCACCCTGTGACCCCCGCCCTGTGACCACCACCCTGTGACCACCACCACCCTGTGACCCCCGCCCTGTGACCACCACCCTGTGACCCCCGCCCTGTGACCCCCACCCTGTGACCACCGCCCTGTGACCCCCGCCCTGTGACCACCACCCCCACCCTGTGACCCCCGCCCTGTGACCCCCACCCTGTGACCACCGCCCTGTGACCCCCGCCCTGTGACCACCACCCCCACCCTGTGACCCCCACCCTGTGACCACCACCCCCACCCTGTGACCACCACCCTGTGACCCCCACCCTGTGACCACCACCCCCGCTCTGTGACCCCCACCCTGTGACCCCCACCCTGTGACCACCACCCCCGCCCTGTGCCCCCCACCCTGTGACCCCCACCCTGTGACCACCACCCCCGCCCTGTGCCCCCCACCCTGTGACCACCACCCTGTGACCACCGCCCTGTGACCCCCACCCTGTGACCACCACCCTGTGACCACCACCCTGTGACCCCCACCCTGTGACCACCACCCCCGCCCTGTGACCCCCACCCTGTGACCCCCACCCTGTGACCACCACCCCCGCCCTGTGCCCCCCACCCTGTGACCCCCACCCTGTGACCACCACCCCCAACCTGTGACCACCACCCTGTGACCACCGCCCTGTGACCCCCACCCTGTGACCACCACCCTGTGACCACCGCCCTGTGACCCCCACCCTGTGACCACCACCCTGTGACCACCACCCTGTGACCCCCACCCTGTGACCACCACCCTGTGACCCCCACCCTGTGACCACCACCCTGTGACCCCCGCCTTGTGACCCCCACCCTGTGACCACCACCCTGTGACCACCACCCTGTGACCCCCGCCCTGTGACCCCCACCTTGTGACCCCCACCCTGTGACCACCACCCTGTGACCACCGCCCTGTGACCCCCACCCTGTGACCACCACCCTGTGACCACCGCCCTGTGACCACCACCCTGTGACCACCACCCTGTGACCCCCGCCCTGTGACCACCACCCTGTGACCACCACCCTGTGACCACACTCATTAACACATGGCTGCTCCCTAATTGTTTTTCATCTTTTAAGTGTCTGAATCCTAATTATTGAATAATTACATGTATTTTCAAGTATAAATGTTATCAGTTCAAGCTGAGTAAACTGAAAAACTAAATTTCCCACTGTGTCGAATCAAGGATCTCTTAAAAATAATTTCAGATAAATGTCCTATACAAACTGACACTATTTCAAGAAAAAGGCAGCCCTTGGAGATGTTCTTCACTTCTGACACATTTAACACAAAATACCACATAATGTTTTTCCAAAATAAATGGTTCTTAACAATATATCAGGAACTTCCCCCGTTTAAGGACTATCATCACAAACTCATTACACGAGCTCATTCCCACTGGACAAAAACAGTTATTTTGTCCAAAAAGCCCAGGTCCCTTTGGCACACTGTAGACTGGCTTGGTATGGCCCAGCTTCCAACCCACATAGACCCAGTCTGCTGAAGCTCGTTCAAATGTGTGAAGCATAGGAGTTTAAAGCCTTGTTCCAGGCCGTGGCTAACATGTGAGTCATGTGCACATGTTCTGAGCAGCCACATGTGAAGAGCCAAAGGTTGACCTGTGTGCCCTTGCTTTGCTCTGATTGACAGTGAGGAGTGTGAAGAGGCGTACGCAGAACTGCTGTCCCTTTACGAGGCCAGGGCTCAAAGCGTTCCCCAGCGGAGGGCCTCAGCAGGTGGGCACATTCTGCCGGGACCGCGGGGTTAGCAATCCCTCTCACACGCACAAACATTTACACTGCTTTTTCCAGCTCCCTTGGAAGAAACTGGCAACGCTCCAAAACATGAGAGCGACACGGAAGAGCTGTCCACCTCTTTCTCCACAGCAGGGGGCGCTGTGGACCACCAGCCAATCAGGTGAAGGAGAGGTCTGCTGGGTAATCTTTCCTTTCTTTATAATGGGCCTTTTTAACATCTTAAGCATTTGGAATGCTTTGTCTTTTATTTGGTGTTTCCAATGTTTCTGATATTTTTACAGAATAAAGTTTAATGTGGTAAGTTTAAATAGTATTTGCAGTAATGCAGTATTTAAAGTACTGCAGTACTTTAAAGTACTGCTAACGTTTCAGTTCATTTCAATAGAAATTTCTTTTGGAAAGAAATTGTATTTCTAATCCTCACAACAATGTGACTCAGTACTTTTGGCTCTTCTACTTTTTGTAGTGTTAGCAGTATTCAGAGTACTACAAGTTGTACTTTTTCCTATCTTTTAACTTTTTACTATACATATTTAGTGTTTGAAGTACTTTTTTGTTTATTATAGGTACTGTAATGGGGATGTAGCAGTGTAAAGGGGGTTTAATGATGGAGTAAGGGGGTAACAGTGTAATGGGGTAACAGTGTAGTGGGGTAACAGTGTAGTGGGGTAACAGTGTAATGGGGGTAACAGTGTAGTGGGGTAACAGTGTAATGGGGGTAACAGTGTAGTGGGGTAACAGTGTAATGGGGGTAACAGTGTAATGGGGGGTAACAGTGTAATGGGGTGACAGTGTAATGGGGGGTAACAGTGTAATGGGGGTAACAGTGTAATGGGGTAACAGTGTAATGGGGTAACAGTGTAATGGGGGGTAACAGTGTAATGGGGGTAACAGTGTAGTGGGGTAACAGTGTAATGGGGGTAACAGTGTAATGGGGTAACAGTGTAATGGGGGTAACAGTGTAATGGGGTAACATTGTAATGGGGGTAACAGTGTAATGGGGTAACAGTGTAATGGGGTAACAGTGTAAAGGGGTAACAGTGTAATGGGGTAACAGTGTAATGGGGTAACAGTGTAGTGGCGTAACAGTGTAATGGGGTAACAGTGTAATGGGGGTAACAGTGTAGTGGGGTAACAGTGTAATGGGGTAACATTGTAATGGGGGTAACAGTGTAATGGGGTAACAGTGTAATGGGGTAACAGTGTAAAGGGGTAACAGTGTAATGGGGTAACAGTGTAATGGGGTAACAGTGTAGTGGCGTAACAGTGTAATGGGGTAACAGTGTAATGGGGTAACAGTGTAATGGGGGTAACAGTGTAATGGGGTAACAGTGTAATGGGGGGTAAACAGTGTAATGGGGTAACAGTGTAATGGGGTAACAGTGTAAAGGGGTAACAGTGTAACGGGGGGTAACAGTGTAATGGGGTGACAGTGTAATGGGGTAACAGTGTAATGGGGGGTAACAGTGTAATGGGGGTAACAGTGTAATGGGGTAACAGTGTAGTGGCGTAACAGTGTAATGGGGTGACAGTATAATGGGGTAACAGTGTAATGGGGTAACAGTGTAGTGGGGTAACAGTGTAATGGGGTAACAGTGTAATGGGGTAACAGTGTAATGGGGTAACAGTGTAGTGGGGTAACAGTGTAATGGGGTGACAGTGTAATGGGGTAACAGTGTAATGGGGTAACAGTGTAATGGGGTAACAGTGTAATGGAGTAACAGTGTAATGGGGTAACAGTGTAATGGGGTGACAGTGTAATGGGGTAACAGTGTAATGGGGTAACAGTGTAATGGGGGGTAACAGTGTAATGGGGTAACAGTGTAATGGGGGTAACAGTGTAATGGGGTAACAGTGTAATGGGGTGACAGTATAATGGGGTAACAGTGTAATGGGGTAACAGTGTAATGGGGTAACAGTGTAATGGGGTAACAGTGTAATGGGGGGTGACAGTGTAATGGGGTGACAGTGTAATGGGGTAACAGTGTAATGGGGTAACAGTGTAATGGGGGGTAACAGTGTAATGGGGTAACAGTGTAATGGGGGTAACAGTGTAATGGGGTAACAGTGTAATGGGGTGACAGTATAATGGGGTAACAGTGTAATGGGGTAACAGTGTAATGGGGTAACAGTGTAGTGGGGTAACAGTGTAATGGGGTGACAGTGTAATGGGGTGACAGTGTAATGGGGGGTAACAGTGTAATGGGGGGTAACAGTGTAATGGGGGTAACAGTGTAATGGGGTGACAGTGTAATGGGGTAACAGTGCAATGGGGTAACAGTGCAATGGGGTGACAGTGTAATGGGGTAACAGTGTAATGGGGTGACAGTGTAATGGGGTAACAGTGTAATGGGGTAACAGTGTAATGGGGGGTAACAGTGTAATGGGGGTAACAGTGTAATGGGGTAACAGTGTAATGGGGTAACAGTGTAATGGGGTAACAGTGTAATGGGGGGTAACAGTGTAATGGGGGTAACAGTGTAATGGGGGTAACAGTGTAATGGGGGTAACAGTGTAATGGGGTAACAGTGTAATGGGGTGACAGTGTAATGGGGTAACAGTGTAATGGGGTAACAGTGTAATGGGGTGACAGTGTAATGGGGGTAACAGTGTAATGGGGGTAACAGTGTAATGGGGTAACAGTGTAATGGGGTGACAGTGTAATGGGGTAACAGTGTAATGGGGTAACAGTGCAATGGGGTGACAGTGTAATGGGGTAACAGTGTAATGGGGTAACAGTGTAATGGGGTAACAGTGTAATGGGGTAACAGTGTAATGGGGTAACAGTGTAATGGGGGGTAACAGTGTAATGGGGTAACAGTGCAATGGGGGTAACAGTGTAATGGGGGTAACAGTGTAATGGGGTAACAGTGTAATGGGGTAACAGTGTAATGGGGGGTAACAGTGTAATGGGGTAACAGTGTAATGGGGGTAACAGTGTAATGGGGGTAACAGTGTAATGGGGGGTAACAGTGTAATGGGGTAACAGTGTAATGGGGGGTAACAGTGTAATGGGGTAACAGTGTAATGGGGGGTAACAGTGTAATGGGGGGTAACAGTGTAATGGGGTAACAGTGTAATGGGGTAACAGTGCAATGGGGTAACAGTGCAATGGGGTGACAGTGTAATGGGGTAACAGTGTAATGGGGTGACAGTGTAATGGGGTAACAGTGTAATGGGGTAACAGTGTAATGGGGGGTAACAGTGTAATGGGGGTAACAGTGTAATGGGGTAACAGTGTAATGGGGTAACAGTGTAATGGGGTAACAGTGTAATGGGGGGTAACAGTGTAATGGGGGTAACAGTGTAATGGGGGTAACAGTGTAATGGGGGTAACAGTGTAATGGGGTAACAGTGTAATGGGGTGACAGTGTAATGGGGTAACAGTGTAATGGGGTAACAGTGTAATGGGGTGACAGTGTAATGGGGGTAACAGTGTAATGGGGATAACAGTGTAATGGGGTAACAGTGTAATGGGGTGACAGTGTAATGGGGTAACAGTGTAATGGGGTAACAGTGCAATGGGGTGACAGTGTAATGGGGTAACAGTGTAATGGGGTAACAGTGTAATGGGGTAACAGTGTAATGGGGTAACAGTGTAATGGGGGGTAACAGTGTAATGGGGTAACAGTGCAATGGGGGTAACAGTGTAATGGGGGTAACAGTGTAATGGGGTAACAGTGTAATGGGGTAACAGTGTAATGGGGGGTAACAGTGTAATGGGGTAACAGTGTAATGGGGGTAACAGTGTAATGGGGGTAACAGTGTAATGGGGGGTAACAGTGTAATGGGGTAACAGTGTAATGGGGTAACAGTGTAATGGGGGTAACAGTGTAATGGGGGGTAACAGTGTAATGGGGGTAACAGTGTAATGGGGGGTAACAGTGTAATGGGGGGTAACAGTGTAATGGGGGTAACAGTGTAATGGGGGTAACAGTGTAATGGGGGGTAACAGTGTAATGGGGTAACAGTGTAATGGGGTAACAGTGTAATGGGGTAACAGTGTAATGGGGGTAACAGTGTAATGGGGGTAACAGTGCAATGGGGTGACAGTGTAATGGGGTAACAGTGTAATGGGGTGACAGTGTAATGGGGTAACAGTGTAATGGGGTAACAGTGTAATGGGGGGTAACAGTGTAATGGGGTGACAGTGTAATGGGGTAACAGTGTAATGGGGGTAACAGTGTAATGGGGTAACAGTGTAATGGGGTGACAGTGTAATGGGGTAACAGTGTAATGGGGTGACAGTGTAATGGGGTAACAGTGTAATGGGGTAACAGTGTAATGGGGGTAACAGTGTAATGGGGGTAACAGTGTAATGGGGTAACAGTGTAATGGGTAACAGTGTAATGGGGTAACAGTGTAATGGGGTAACAGTGTAATGGGGGGTAACAGTGTAATGGGGGTAACAGTGTAATGGGGTAACAGTGTAATGGGGTAACAGTGTAATGGGGTAACAGTGTAATGGGGTAACAGTGTAATGGGGTAACAGTGTAATGGGGTAACAGTGTAATGGGGTAACAGTGTAATGGGGTAACAGTGTAATGGGGGTAACAGTGTAATGGGGGTAACAGTGTAATGGGGTAACAGTGTAATGGGGTAACAGTGTAATGGGGTAACAGTGTAATGGGGTAACAGTGTAATGGGGTAACAGTGTAATGGGGTAACAGTGTATGGGTAACAGTGTAATGGGGGTAACAGTGTAATGGGGTAACAGTGTAATGGGGTAACAGTGTAATGGGGTAACAGTGTAATGGGGTAACAGTGTAATGGGGTAACAGTGTAATGGGGTAACAGTGAATGGGGTAACAGTGTAATGGGGTAACAGTGTAATGGGGTAACAGTGTAATGGGGGGTAACAGTGTAATGGGGTAACAGTGTAATGGGGTAACAGTGTAATGGGGTAACAGTGTAATGGGGTGACACGTGTAATGGGGTAACAGTGTAATGGGGTAACAGTGTAATGGGGTGACAGTGTAATGGGGGTAACAGTGTAATGGGGATAACAGTGTAATGGGGTAACAGTGTAATGGGGTGACAGTGTAATGGGGTAACAGTGTAATGGGGTAACAGTGCAATGGGGTGACAGTGTAATGGGGGTAACAGTGTAATGGGGTAACAGTGTAATGGGGTAACAGTGTAATGGGGTAACAGTGTAATGGGGGGTAACAGTGTAATGGGGTAACAGTGCAATGGGGGTAACAGTGTAATGGGGGTAACAGTGTAATGGGGTAACAGTGTAATGGGGTAACAGTGTAATGGGGGGTAACAGTGTAATGGGGTAACAGTGTAATGGGGGTAACAGTGTAATGGGGGTAACAGTGTAATGGGGGGTAACAGTGTAATGGGGTAACAGTGTAATGGGGTAACAGTGTAATGGGGGTAACAGTGTAATGGGGGGTAACAGTGTAATGGGGGTAACAGTGTAATGGGGGGTAACAGTGTAATGGGGGGTAACAGTGTAATGGGGGTAACAGTGTAATGGGGGTAACAGTGTAATGGGGGGTAACAGTGTAATGGGGTAACAGTGTAATGGGGTAACAGTGTAATGGGGTAACAGTGTAATGGGGGTAACAGTGTAATGGGGGTAACAGTGCAATGGGGTGACAGTGTAATGGGGTAACAGTGTAATGGGGTGACAGTGTAATGGGGTAACAGTGTAATGGGGTAACAGTGTAATGGGGGGTAACAGTGTAATGGGGTGACAGTGTAATGGGGTAACAGTGTAATGGGGGTAACAGTGTAATGGGGTAACAGTGTAATGGGGTGACAGTGTAATGGGGTAACAGTGTAATGGGGTGACAGTGTAATGGGGTAACAGTGTAATGGGGTAACAGTGTAATGGGGGGTAACAGTGTAATGGGGGTAACAGTGTAATGGGGTAACAGTGTAATGGGGTAACAGTGTAATGTGGGGTAACAGTGTAATGGGGTAACAGTGTATGGTAACAGTGGGGGTAACAGTGTAATGGGGTAACAGTGTAATGGGGTAACAGTGTAATGGGGTAACAGTGTAATGGGGTAACAGTGTAATGGGGTAACAGTGTAATGGGGGTAACAGTGTAATGGGGTAACAGTGTAATGGGGTAACAGTGTAATGGGGTAACAGTGTAATGGGGTAACAGTGTAATGGGGTAACAGTGTAATGGGGTAACAGTGTAATGGGGTAACAGTGTAATGGGGGTAACAGTGTAATGGGGGTAACAGTGTAATGGGGTAACAGTGTAATGGGGTAACAGTGTAATGGGGTAACAGTGTAATGGGGTAACAGTGTAATGGGGGTAACAGTGTAATGGGGTAACAGTGTAATGGGGAACAGTGTAATGGGGGTAACAGTGTAATGGGGGTAACAGTGTAATGGGGTAACAGTGTAATGGGGTAACAGTGTAATGGGGGGTAACAGTGTAATGGGGTAACAGTGTAATGGGGTAACAGTGTAATGGGGGTAACAGTGTAATGGGGGTAACAGTGTAATGGGGTAACAGTGTAATGGGGTAACAGTGTAATGGGGGTAACAGTGTAATGGGGTAACAGTATCATAATTGTGTAACACGTTTAAACTTTAGTGCATGTGTATCACAACAAGAAGGTCCTGGGTTTGATTCCCCTTCCAGGCCTTTCTGTGTGGAGTTTGCATGTTCTGCTCGTGTCTGCGTAGGTTTCCTCTGGGTGCTCCAGTTTCCCCAACCACCTAAACTATGTACAACAGGTCTGGTGTGTGTTTCCTACAGACGACACTCCCATCGTTATGTGGAGGGTAAAGGATCACAACTAAAGCGCTTTGCGGTGAAAGGCGCTATATGAATAAATATGACATACTGCAACTACTCATTATGTATACGTTGTTTTTGGTGATTGTATCGTCCACGAAGGGTGTCGTAATCCTTTTAGTGTTTTTTAGTACTTTGTTCATTGTATGAAGTCACACGTTCTAGTATAATGTTGATGTTTTTATAAACCCATAAATGCCTTGCTCCTCATTGGTGCGTTGGTTGCTGTGAGGTTGCTATGAGAGGTTTTGACTCCAGATTACTGTCCATGGATCCTTTCAGAGCAGCTCGGCCTTTTCCGATACTCAGCGATCATCTCCACTGGTGATGGCAGGAAAAGACCAAAAATAACGTACTAAGGATGGGAAAAGGATGGGTTTTTTTTTGGTTTAAATCATCATGTTTTGGCAACACTAAATTTAGAAAATAGAAGAACAAAAAGCAATTTATTTTATTTCATTCAAATATAAAGTATTTACTGTAAGTCACTTCTGAATATGTGCTAAGATATATGAATATTATAATTATTATCATAGTAATTATCCAAACTTGTTTATATGGGAGTCAAAGCAGAAGACTGTTGCTCTCTGTCCGTTAGCATATAGCATTTTAAAGCTAATCCAACCGTTTGAAGTGACAGCTACACTGTTCTTACCTTTGGCACACTTCATGTAACTTTAAAGGACGCTGGAGGAGGAGCGTGAGCGTTCCCTGCGTCAGCACATCGAGGCGCTGAAGAGGGAGCGTGCCGCCATGAGTCTCCCCAGAGCAGAGGTCAAGCCGGTCCCAGGGTCTCCAGGCGGACTCACCCACAAGGAGAAAGCCCCCCTCCTCTACGAGCTCATCTCTGCACGGGTGAATCATACCACACTGTTCTAGGGGCGGGCGATAGCAATATTTTTTTTCTAACTTCCGATAACGATATTGTCACAATATCTTTAAAATCAAACATTTTCACACAAAATGATCAGTAATGTTTTGCTGCAGGGCATCTATAGATCGAGACAGTGTAGATCTAAATAGAAGCTTCACAAAACTTTGCAAAACATGCACAAACATATATAAACATTAAAAATCCAATCCTAGTAACACAGGAAGAACACATCCAAAAAGGCTCAATATTTACTGAAACGTACAAATAAAGCAGTGATTGGCTTTTTAGGCACGGATTTGACGAATGGGCATCTTGCCTGTAATTATTGAAATATTTATTGGAGATATGTAAAAAAAAAAAAAAAATTGACGATATTGCTAAAAAGCATATCATCAAAGTCACTTTTGTGATATTATCGTCTACGATATATATCGCCCACTCCTACATTGTCACAGGGGCGTGTACTTTCTCTGAGACAGGGACAAGATGGAAGCCAGACGTTTATTTTATGTTATGTTTTATTGTTTGACGTGAAGCACCTTTTGACTCCATAGTCACAGAAATCAATTTATAAATCTACTTTACATACAGTACTTACTTAAACTGGGATTACATCTGTTTGAAAGGTGCATGACGCCACTGCAAAGCTGTGGTCTTTATTTGTTTCAACCAAAAAGAGTTAAAAGTTAATATGAATAAAATGAACCTCCTTATTATAAAACATGTTATATTTTTAATAGTTGTTAGAAGGACCCCTGGGAGTCACTATTTGCCTCTTGGGTCTGAGAACTGACTGGATGTGTGAGTGATGTCTGAAAAGATACACGGCCGGGTTTCCTTTTGAATGTGCTTACACTGATCCAGACCAAAGCAGAGAGGACCCGTCCTGCTCCACCCAGAGGCTACTCCACCTCTGCTGCTGTGACCCATCCTGCTCCACCCAGAGGCTACTCCACCTCTGCTGCTGTGACCTGTCCTGCTCCACCCAGAGGCTACTCCACCTCTGCTGCTGTGACCCATCCTGCTCCACCCAGAGGCTACTCCACCTCTGCTGCTGTGACCTGTCCTGCTCCACCCAGAGGCTACTCCACCTCTGCTGCTGTGACCCATCCTGCTCCACCCAGAGGCTACTCCACCTCTGCTGCTGTGACCTGTCCTGCTCCACCCAGAGGCTACTCCACCTCTGCTGCTGTGACCCATCCTGCTCCACCCAGAGGCTACTCCACCTCTGCTGCTGTGACCCATCCTGCTCCACCCAGAGGCTACTCCACCTCTGCTGCTGTGACCCATCCTGCTCCACCCAGAGGCTACTCCACCTCTGCTGCTGTGACCCGTCCTGCTCCACCCAGAGGCTACTCCACCTCTGCTGCTGTGACCCGTCCTACTCCACCCAGAGGCTACTCCACCTCTGCTGCTGTGACCCGTCCTGCTCCACCCAGAGGCTACTCCACCTCTGCTGCTGTGACCCGTCCTGCTCCACCCAGAGGCTACTCCACCTCTGCTGCTGTGACCTGTCCTGCTCCACCCAGAGGCTACTCCACCTCTGCTGCTGTGACCTGTCCTGCTCCACCCAGAGGCTACTCCACCTCTGCTCTTCACCACAACTGTTTATATATCTATGTAAAAACTAGTACTTGAACCAAGAGCTGCTTTAAAGTCTATTCTCTGAGCCACAAGAAGCCAGTGCAGAGACTTCAAACCAGGACTAATGTGGTCGTACTTCCTGGTTCGACTAAGGACTCCAGCAGCAGTGTTTTGAATATACTGCATCTGTTTTTCATCTCAGAAGGCCGTTACAACAGTCTAACCTAACTGCTCTTAAAAAGTGTTTTGTTCCTATTATTTACTTGGAGGGAGCTTTTTGAGGAACAATGCTGCTACAATTTTGTATAACTCCTATAACTTTTATGATGACTCCTTTCCTTAAAAGGTATTCAGGGAGATGTTTGCACCGATTGAAAATGTGTACATAAATATTTGGTCTTTGGGCTCAGCATCCATCACAAATCCCCTTTTCTCGTACATTTGGTTTGTTTCATAATGATTCAGGATTAAGTAATAACCATGTTGACTTTATTCACATTTTGTTTGCAGGAAATACATACTTTCCTTAAATTAACAGTTTAATTAAACCGTATAGAACACAGAATGTACAGTATGTTCTTGTTTGGTGATTCTTATATTGTAAATGCAAAGTATATTCTTGTGTAGTGTACCTATACACTACATTATTAATCTACAGCCAAATGGTTTTCTTCTTTAGACATGCATCATTTCAAGGACTAAAATTAGCCAAAATAGAGCTACTCATGATTAGGGCTAAGGCTAACATAAGCATAAAGCCAGCTCTGTCTTGTCTTCATGCGTAGGAGGAGATGTCCGACCTGCGTGCTCTGATCCGCCTCAAAGAAAAAGAACTGCGCTGTATCGAGTGGAGTCTCATGGCCCAGAAAGAGGCCTCTGGCGCCTTCATACCGGAGCGGGACGACCTGGAGCGGGACGGCCTGGAGCGGGACGGCCTGGAGCGGGACGGCCTGGAGCGGGACGGCCTGGAGCGGGACGGCCTGGAGCAGCACTGCAGCGACCAACAGGTGCCATGGACTTTTACTCAAATCTGTGAAGAATGGAAAAGTCAAGGTGAAGTGTGCATTTGGGAGTGAGACGGATTCAGATATGGCTGTGCCCCGTGGGAAATCACTCTAAAGTAGGATCCCTCAGGCCAATGGGCTATTCTCATTTCTCAAGGTCTTCTCCTGAGTTGACCTCTTCTGTACGAGACTGTTCTAACATATTTACATTTGAAAGATTTTTACAAGCTATATTTATTTCTCCTCTCCCTCCGGCTCAAAACTGGTCGCTGTGACTTTCTGAAAACAGAGCGTTAGACATTGTACTAAACTAGACTCAAAAAATGTCATTATTTAAAACTGTTGCTTATTTGGACCCCCTGGAAGCCACTTTAACATTTTAATAATTTGGTTTAAAAAAAAATATTATTTGGGCGTACAACTTGATTACGACACTAAGAACTAGAGTTGGTTTTATACTCTTTAATGTAAGATTCTCAGTATCAATACTTTCTGAAATGCATATCTTGTTTTGAAGTTACTACTAATACTTTCGACAAGCCTATACGTTCATGTATAAGAGAGTCTGTTTTAGAGATCTATAACAGATTTATTTTAAAGGCCCCGTATTTTGCTCTTCATGTTTCAAAGTCCATCCTGTCACCAACCACCATAGATAGATAGTAAGTAAGTAATGTTTATTTACAGCAGCAGAGGTGGAGTAGCCTCTGGGTGGAGCAGGACAGGTCACAGCAGCAGAGGTGGAGTAGCCTCTGGGTGGAGCAGGACGGGTCACAGCAGCAGAGGTGGAGTAGCCTCTGGGTGGAGCAGGACAGGTCACAGCAGCAGAGGTGGAGTAGTCTCTGGGTGGAGCAGGACGGGTCACAGCAGCAGAGGTGGAGTAGCCTCTGGGTGGAGCAGGACGGGTCACAAGGTGGAGCAGCCGCTTGGTTCGGAGCATTTTCTCTGCTCTCGTCCAAAGTAAAATGCTGAATGGATCATTAGCATTTTTACAACAGTTAGCATTCCTCCAGTGGATTTTCATCTGATCCACTTGGTTCGGACCATGAATCCTCTCTGCTCTGGTCTGCACCAGTGTAAAACCATGAATCCTCTGCTCTGGTCTGGACCAGTGTAAAACCATGAACCCTGTACTACAGCAACATCTTAGGTAGAAAAAAGCAAGAAATAATGTATGAAGCACAAAACGACTGTTTCAGAGCTACAGTCCTTAGCACCTGCTGCCGTTTTCCAGCGCATTCAAAAGTAAAGATACAACACTATAGCCATTATACCCATTTCCTGCATAGAGGTGACATCATCTCAATTGAAATGGGTGGATCTCTGCTCATCCGCCTGTGACCCCCCACCCGTGTGCTGATGTAGCCTGGACCACAGCCGGCCTCCTCCCTCCCACTCTGTGACCCCCCACCCGTGTGCTGATGTAGCCTGGACCACAGCCGGCCTCCTCCCTCCCACTCTGTGACCCCCCACCCGTGTGCTGATGTAGCCTGGACCACAGCCGGCCTCCTCCCTCCCACTCTGTGACCCCCCACCCGTGTGCTGATGTAGCCTGGACCACAGCCGGCCTCCTCCCTCCCACTCTGTGACCCCCCACCCGTGTGCTGATGTAGCCTGGACCACAGCCGGCCTCCTCCCTCCCACTCTGTGACCCCCCACCCGTGTGCTGATGTAGCCTGGACCACAGCCGGCCTCCTCCCTCCCACTCTGTGACCCCCCACCCGTGTGCTGATGTAGCCTGGACCACAGCCGGCCTCCTCCCTCCCACTCTGTGACCCCCCACCCGTGTGCTGATGTAGCCTGGACCACAGCCGGCCTCCTCCCTCCCACTCTGTGACCCCCCACCCGTGTGCTGATGTAGCCTGGACCACAGCCGGCCTCCTCCCTCCCACTCTGTGACGTTGCCTCACACTGACTTATGGTAATCACACTGCATGGGGCTTTGGCGTTTGTCAGTACATAGAGGTACTTTCAAACCTGAGAACAAACTATTTATTATTCAAACAATGGGAATGCGTTTGGTGGAGCCATTCGCCCTCAATCCAGAATCATACCCTAATTATTTAGTTAACAGGAGTATACGCCAAGTTAGTAGTACTGTATGAACAAATCTTGGCTCCTTGTTAGCATCTTTTATTGTGGGAATAACACCAGGTTTCAATAATCAGCTTTTGGTAACACTTTATATTAATGGTACATGAGTTCACCCAGCTTTTGAGTAAGTCCAGTTTCATGGTACCCATAGTTCTGGAACAGTCTTTGCTGAAGTGTCTCTTGCAGATAAACAGAGTTTTTTGAGGCAGATCCCACTGAATAAAGTCCAGCCACATTGCTTCGTCTTTGGGCAAGCCAAATAGTGTCACATAGTTTCGATATACCGTTTCTTCAAGTTGACATGATGCTAACACTTTTAGTCAGCGTCAGCCAAAGAACACAGCATTAGCTACAACAGACTGGTAAAATATGTACAACATCTGACTGCTCACATCAAACTACCTCAGTCTTCTCAGGAAGAAAAGTCATATATAGACAGCATTGGCCGGAGCTGACCAGTCCAGTCTGTGGTGCAGGTGGACTCCTGGGTATTTGTAGGACTGTACCACTTCAATGTCCTGTCCATTTAGTGTGACCGGTCGATGGGAAGGGCTCTTGTGAAAGTCAATGATCATCTCCTTGGTCTTGGATGCATTGAGAATCAGACTATTTCTCTCACTCCAGTCTGAGAAAGCAGCCACCACCTCCCTGTACTCCCTGTGCTAGAAAAGTTGTGTGCAAAGTCTGCAGTGTAGATTGTGCAGAGGAAGGGAGCCAGAACAGTGCGCTGTGGTGCTCCAGTATTGCTCACAACAGTCCCAGACACGCTCTTCTCTAACATGACATACTGTGGCCTCACACTGAGGTAATTATAAATCCAGTTGGTAAAGATGGGATCAACTTCAATCTTCTCCAGTTTCTCCCTCAGTAAGAGAGGTTGGATGGTGTTAAATGCACTGGAGAAGTGGGAGAACATCAGCCTCACATAACCTCCTGGGCCATCCAGGAAGGACACAGTTCAATGGAGCATGTAGAGGACCGCGTCGTTCACTCCCATGCTCGACCGTGGCATGAGCAGTGGGAGTACGAGGCTCTCAAAAGTCTTCTTATGACAGATGTTAGTGCTGCACATGCCTTCAGGAGCCTTGGCGTTATCCCATCAGGCCCAGCAGACTTCCTCCCCTGGAGCCTCTTTAGCTCCACCCGGACATCCTCCACGGTAAAGAAGGACGCAGCAGCAGGGGTAGTGTAGACGCCGGGAGGAGCGGGAGAGGTCACAAAAGTGCACAGGATGGACTGTGGAAAAGAGCTAATGTTAAAGTGCTAGTTAGACCTTATTTTAAAATTATTTCATGAGCATGTCAAGGTTTCATTCTCTCTCTTCAGCTAAATTCACTTGTTTTCTTCATTTGTTCCATTCTAGAGCCTGTGCGAGGTGGCTGCTAAACTGGGCCCAGAAGGAGACCACTCCAGACCCACCCTGAGGCTGCAGGCCGTTCTCCACAGGTGACATCAACACAATTAAATAGTACATTTCAAAACAGCACCAAGGCAAACGGCAGAAGCCATTTTTTTCTGCAGTGACCTTCTTGTCTCCAGCACTGAATAAAGTGTCACTTCAGCGTCTGGTCCAGAATCTGTTGCTTAGAAACACAGATATCTAAACGTTTGCCTTGAGAAGTAAAGCTCACTACTTTAACCAGAGCTTTGTGACGGTACTACAGCGGGATGTGTTCTACGAAGGACAAACATGAACTAAAAACATTGTATTGACTGTGTCTGATTCTACAGGGAGCAGGCCTTAAAGAAGAGGCTGGCCTTGGTTCAGGACTCGGTGAACACGACTCCTCCAGACGCCAGTGTTCAGAGGAGAGACAGCGGAGAGATGGCCCGACTCACCCAGGCCCACAGGTATATACATATATACATATACATATATACATATATATATATATATATATATATATATATATATGCGTATACTGTCTGTAGTATAATATATATAAGCGTATACTGTCTGTAGTATATTATATATAAGCGTATACTGTCTGTAGTATAATATATATACGCGTATACTGTCTGTAGTATATTATATATAAGCGTATACTGTCTGTAGTATAATATATATACGCGTATACTGTCTGTAGTATAATATATATACGCGTATACTGTCTGTAGTATAATATATATACGCGTATACTGTCTGTAGTATAATATATATACGCGTATACTGTCTGTAGTATAATATATATACGCGTATACTGTCTGTAGTATAATATATATACGCGTATACTGTCTGTAGTATAATATATATACGCGTATACTGTCTGTAGTATAATATATATATACGTGTATACTGTCTGTAGTATAATATATATACGAGTATACTGTCTGTAGTATAATATATATACGCGTATACTGTCTGTAGTATAATATATACACGCGTATACTGTCTGTAGTATAATATACATAGAGTTGATCCATTGAAGACAGGGTGAGATTTATTCGTCTGACACTGGGGAATTTTAACCTTGTCACATTGTTTCCATCAAAGGAACTTGTTTTTAGCTCATTCTCTGATATCTGTAGCTTCAGCCAATCAGCACAAACACATCTCCCCACCCCTTCTGTAAACTGCCCCTTTCAAACTTGTTAAATTATGACAAATCCCAAATGGAGGACGTTGTTGACAGAGGTGTTTTCTTCATCCTAAAACAAAGGTATTGTAATTAAATTAGTTTTAGGATTAATGTCCAAACATATTAGATTTTCACAGAACCTTCAGATCACATTATGTTGGATGTTTAAAAAATAAAAAAATGAGATCCTCCTACTCCCACCAGCACAAGTCCTGAGCATGTTTACACCGATGAGCAAATGGAGAGAAGCGGCTGCTACTGCCTTTGTGAAGTTTATAGAGAAGGTTAGACCGTCTTACAGGACGGAGAGGTTTCTCTGGGCTTGTTTACTCAGATGCAAGATTTATGAACAAAAAAACAGCCACAGTGAGCCAGGTGCAAAAGTTCTTCTGACACTGAGACCAGGGAGACGTGATCCGTTTAAGTCCATTTATTGAACAAAATAATAATAATTAATGAACATGTACAGTCTTCCACAGTTTGCAGGTAGAGATCTGTGTGCTCCCATGGTCCCACATGGTCCCACATGGTCCCACACCTGAACTCAGACTCAAACTGATGACCTCAGAGCAGTCTAAATAATGAGAGTCTCTGATTTTTAAGCTGCTCTTCCTGTTTTTAAAACTTAGTTATTCAGCAATTGTCTTTTACAGTCTTTAATCATTAACTTATAACATTTTAGAATCTTTCTTTAACTCAGGAATTTTAACCGTTTAACTTAAACTAATATTGAATGCCAGCCTATTTCAGAACAGGTACTCCCACAGTGCCAGCCATTTCTGATGATTTTTACTGATTTTTAAAGACCCACAGAATATTGTGTACTATGACTATCTGAAATCCAACACCAGATTCTAAAAGAATGGACTGTCTACTTTCATCAGCAAAAAGAATTTTGTTTATAGCTTTTTCCGTTCCCCTGTAATCCTCCGTCGAGTAGAGGGAAGTTTTACTGAAATCACCAGAAATCACCAGAAAGTTGAGAAAAAAGAGGCACAGCATGTGCACCTACATGTTTTGAAACCATTCAGAGAGCAATGCTGCCACCTGCTGGCTCGATAAAATATGGTCTCAAGTCATCCCCATACATATTAGATACAATAGACATCTGGGAACGTGAAAATAGCGAAAAAGGCAATTGACGGATTAATGCGTCAATGGCACACAATGAGTTAAGTTTTTTTTTTTAACCATTTCTAACATAATCTGATTGACCTTTTAACAAAAACTATCTTATACTTATACTTATAACCCTAACCCTATACTTATACTTTAAATGAAACACTTTTCAGGAATTTATCTGTTTTGGCTCTCACAAACATCCATGATCTCTGTCAAACCTGCCCGTCTCTCTGATCTCCCCAAACCCTGATAACACAGGATTTCTATGTCAGTGTAAATTCTACAGTATGTCCACATTTGGCCCCAGTATGTGTGTATGGGTGTATGTGTGTGTGTGTGTGGGTGGGTGTATGTGTGTATGTTTGTGTGGGTGTATGTGTGTGTATGTGTGTATGGGTGTATGTGTGTATTTGTGTGTATGGGTGTATGGGTGTATGTGTGTATGTGTGTGTATGGGTGTATGGGTGTATGTGTGTGTGTGTGTGGGTGGGTGTATGTGTGTATGTGTGTGTATGGGTGTATGTGTGTATGGGTGTATGGGTGTATGTGTGTATGTGTGTATGGGTGTATGGGTGTATGTGTGTATGGGGTGTATGTGTGTATGGGTGTATGGGTGTATGGGTGTATGTGTGTATGTGTGTGTATGTGTGTATGTTTGTGTGGGTGTATGTGTGTGTATGTGTGTATGGGTGTATGTGTGTATTTGTGTGTATGGGTGTATGGGTGTATGTGTGTATGTGTGTGTATGGGTGTATGGGTGTATGTGTGTATGTGTGTGTATGGGTGTATGTGTGTATGGGTGTATGGGTGTATGTGTGTATGGGGTGTATGTGTGTATGGGTGTATGGGTGTATGTGTGTATGTGTGTGTATGGGTGTATGGGTGTGTATGGGTGTATGGGTGTGTATGGGTGTATGTGTGTATGTGTGTGTATGTGTGTATGTGTGTGTATGGGTGTGTGTGTGTATGTGTGTATGGGTGTATGGGTGTATGTGTGTATGTGTGTGTATGGGTGTATGGGTGTGTATGGGTGTATGTGTGTATGTGTGTGTATGTGTGTATGTGTGTGTATGGGTGTATGGGTGTATGTGTGTATGGGTGTATGGGTGTATGTGTGTAAGTGTGTATGGGTGTATGTGTGTATGTGACATGTGTGTATGTGTGTGTATGTGTATGTGAGTATGTGTGTAGGTGTGTATGGGTGTATGTGACATGTGTGTATGGGTGTATGTGACATGTGTGTATGGGTGTATGTGTGTGTGTGAATGTGTGTATGTGTATGTGTATATGTGTGTGAATGTGTGTATGTGTTTGTGTGTATGTGTATGTGTGTGTGTGTTTGTGTGAATGTGTGTATGTGACATGTGTGTATGTGACATGTGTGTGTATGTGACATGTGTGTGTGTGTATGTGACATGTGTGTATGTGACATGTGTGTGTGTGTATGTGACATGTGTGTATGTGACATGTGTGTATGATAAGATAAGAATTCCTTTATTCGTCCCACAGTGGGGAAATTTCGATGTTGCATTGCACATATAGGACAGTATGTGTGTGTATATGTGTATGTATGTGTGTGTATGTGTGTGTGTGTGTGTGTATATGTGTGTGTATGTATGTGTGTATATGTGTGTGAGTGAGTGTGTGTGTGTATGTGTGTGTATGTGTGTATGTGACATGTGTGTATCTGACATGTGTGTATGTGTGTGTGTGGTGTGTGTGACATGTGTGTATGTGACATATGTGTATGTGTGTATGTGACATGTGTGTATGTGACATGTGTGTATGTGACATGTGTGTATGTGACATGTGTGTGTGTGCACTTGTTTTCAACTCCTGGTGGGTTCCATAACCTGAGATTCCACTCACGTCATGGGGACTGGTTTTACGTGGTGGGGCCCGAACACCGGACCCCACTGGTCCAAGCTTAATAATCAATGGGTAATGCTTTTCTAACGGTCCTTATGCAGTCTCTGTAAAAATATGGAAAGGACCCCTGGAGGTTTACTTTCCTGAAAAAAGTGTGTTATGTGTCGGAACCCTGGTGGTGGGTTGCGGGATATCAAGGAGGGGCACACTGGGGCAATTTCAGTCCAGCAGGCTGGAGCCAATCATGGAGCAGCACAACAGAGGAAATCAGGTGTCAGGCTAGAAAAAGGTGCAAGTGTGTGGTTCATTAGGCTGCAAGAAATCATGGAGGAGCACACTGAAGCGCACGCTTACAAACCACTGGTAAGTGCTGACTACAAGTCATGACTTCAAATTGTTATATAGAATGATTACAAATTATTTGTTGTTTGTGCAGCTTAGTCAAGAGTCCCTAATTGATGAAGTCGACTCAGATTCTGACGATTTAACTGTCAAGAAGAAACCTGTAAAAAAGTATGGAAAAAGAAAAATCAAAAACACTTTTCTTCAAGACTCGGAAAGTGACGAACCAAAGGCAAATAAGATTGTTATCATGCAGCTGCAAAAGAAGAAAAATGGGGGGCGAGTATACAGCAAGAGACACTTCTGCCTCTACTGTTCAATGTCCTGCCACAAAATGTCCCGTCATTTGACTAGAAAACATGGAAATGAAAGTGACGTAGCCAGAGCATTGGCTCTACCTGTGAAATCTAAAGCACGTAAACTTCAGTTTGTGTTTTGATCAGGAATAGTGGAAACCGTGAGCACAATTTTGAGGTTTTAAAGGCCGGCATTGGAACTTTAGTCCCAGCTAAACAGCCAAATTCCCCAGTTAAATCCAGTGAGTTTTTGCACTGTATAGACTGTGGGGCATTGCTTAAGCGAAAGTCGCTGTGGAGGCATGTGGCCAGGTGCCGGCTTTCACAGAAAGATGCCCAGGCTAAACCAGGCTAAACCAGGTAGAAGTAGGGTCCAGTCCCTCTGCTCCCTAGCCCAGCCTGTACCGGAGGGCATCAGCAAAAAGCTGTGGTCTTTAATTTCGGCAATGCATCAGGATGAGGTCACGGGTGTTGTCAAAGCAGAAAAGGGGATTCTGAGACTCGGAGAGCACCTGTACTTAAAACACGGGCATGATAAGACAAAGCATGATTACATTAGGCAGAAAATGAGAGAAGTCGGTAGGTTAATTAACGAAGCAAAAACCGCAGGGAAACTGAAAACAATTAAGGATTTCTTTATTCCTTCCAACTTTAACCATGTGATTGATGCAGTCAGGTCTGTGGCTGGATATGATGAGGAAACAAATCAATACAAGACTCCATCCTTGGCCCTCAAACTCGGCCATAGCCTCAGAAAGCTAGCAGATATTCTTGAATGTGACTCAAAAATGGAGCATTGTGTTGATGAACTATTTATTAAAAACCTCCAACGAAGCCGGCTGCTTTTTGAGAAGAGGTGGGACGTCTGTGTTTCTTCTGCTGCCCTACAGACCCTCCGGCAAGCCAAGTGGAACACTCCGGACCTGCTCCCTCTGACTGAGGACGTTAGAGCCATGCATGCACATATTGAGGTATGTCGACCTGAATATGTGCAAACCCTAATAAGTGAGCCAACGTCTAAGCATTGGTGTAAACTGGCAGTTTTGACTCTTTGTGAGGTCATCATTTTCAATCGAAGAAGGGAAGGTGAGGTTTCAAAGATGCCACTGACAGCCTTTACCTTAAGAAGTAAGACTGGGATCCATTCTGACATTGCTCTGGGACTGTCCCAACTTGAGAAAAAGCTGTGTCAGCATTTTCAACGCATTGAAATTAAAGGGAAAAGAAGTCGGAAAGTGCCGGTTCTTTTGACTCCTGAAATGATTGCTTCGATGGAGGTGCTGGTGGAGAACAGAAGGGCCTGTTCCATCTCTGACCATAACCCATACTTCTTCTCCCGCTCGGGCGCAGACACCCACATCAGGGGATCAGACTCCCTACGCCAGGTAGCCAAAGAATGTGGTGCGGTGCATCCAGAGATGCTATCCTCAACCAAACTTAGAAAGCACATAGCTACTATGTCTACAGTTCTCAATATGAAAGAGAATGAGATGGACATACTTGCCAACTTCCTCGGCCATGACATTCGCATCCACAGGCAATATTACAGACTACCAGAGGGGACGCTGGAGCTGGCCAAAATCAGCAAAGTGTTGATGGCCATGGAGCAGGGAAGAGTGACGGAATTCGAAGGAAAGAGCCTCGACCAGATACAAATTGAGCCTGAAGGTAATTCTTGATATTATTAAAATATGTATGATTTTTTTCCCCTAAAGGCCACTTGTATTTTTATTTTCTGTGCGACAGGGAGAGCAGTAGAGATCCTCTCACAAACGGACGGGCTAAAAGAAACTTCAAGCGGAGAACCTTCAACCATTCATCCAGATGCACCCCATGGTAGTGGCAGTGCCCCTTCTGGTAAGTGTACCAGGTGGGGGATTACAGCCAGGCTGCTTGGTCCTCACCCTGGGAGTGTATATTGCTAATATATTTTTATTTATCTCCCTAGAACGTGTAAGAAAGCCATGGTCTGCATCTGAGGTGAAGGCTGTGGAGAAGACCATGACACCTTTCATACAGACTGGAAAGGTCCCTGGGAAGTCTCACTGCCTGGCCTGGCCTGGCCTGGCCTGCATTAATGCCTCACCAGATGACCTTAGACATCGGACATGGAGTGGCATTCAATTCTATGTCAAAAATAGAATCACTGCAATTCGAAAACAAAATCTAAAATAAAATTCCTTTAAAATAGTTGTTTGGTTTCTATTGACTGTTTTGTATTACTTAAAGTCTTGGTAAAAAAAGATTATGTCTATGGGTCCCATTCTGAACGGCCCTGTCAAAGGGACCCACCAGGTAACAAAAACGTGTATGTGTGTGTGTGTATGTGTGTATGTGACGTGTGTGTGTGTGTGTGTATGTGTGTATATGACATGTGTGTATTTGACATGTGTGTATGTGTGTGTGTGTGTGTATGTGACATGTGTGTATGTGACATGTGTGTGTGTGTGTGTATGTGTGTATGTGACATGTGTGTATGTGACATGTGTGTGTGTGTGTGTATGTGACATGTGTGTATGTGTGTGTGTGTGTACTATAGAGAGTAACCAACATTATAGAGACGTCTCTTTCCCAAAGGAGACCCAGGGGCCACAGTGGGACAGCTTTGGATGTTAAATTGCTAAATTGTTGTTCTTGGTCAAGACACTTCACCCACATTGGCCAGAATGAGTCTGGTATTTGCAGTGTTGGCAAGGCAAGTTTATTTGTATCGCACACTTAATTTACGAGGCAACTCAAAGTGCTGAACAAAACAAGACAGACAGTCACACAAGGAATTAAAACCATAAATAATCACAGTACATTAAAGAATAAAGATGAAATCCCTCAGGTGTATGCACAGATAAACACAACTATTTATAACCTAGATTTGAACATTGTCAGAGAAGAAGTCTGTCTCACATTTTCAGGAAGATCTGTGTAAATCTGAAATGCAGCCTCATGTTTAGCTCAAACACAGCCCTTTGCCCCATCTCTCTAAATGCCCCACTTAACCCAGTACATTATAATGACTTTTCAAACGATGACGTCACGCTCAGAGAAGGCTGTCATGGTTTAGTAAGTAAGTTGTAAGTAATCTTTATTTATATACCGCCTTTTCACTGCAGATCTGAGTCTCAAAGCGGTTTACAATTGTTATTTTTGGGCATTTGTCTCTCACTCCACACAGAGATGGGAGCGGGGTCGCTGGTACAGGAGGCACATGCCAGAACTATTGGACATATTTTTAGTGGTAGGGGAAACCGGAGTACCCGGAGGAAACCTACGCAGACACGGGGAGAACATGCAAACTCCACTCAGAAAGGCCCTGGTCCGACCGGGATTCGAACCCAGGACCTTCTTGCTGAGAGGCGAGAGTGCTATCCACTCAGCCACCGTGCCACCGTTTAGATTTATTTCCTGTTTTATTTTGTAGTTTGTTACCCCCTGTGTGTTCTTTGGTTGTACTTCCTGTCTGATGAGCTGCCCCGCCCTCTTCTGTCTCACCTGTGTCCTGTTAGTCCTGTATTTAAACCCTGTGTGTTCCTTCCCTCCCTGTTCCGTCGTTGTCATTCCTTGTCTGTTTCAGTTCTTGTTCCCGTTCGTGTTTTTGATGGTTTTGGATTTATTTTATCTTTTATTAAATCCATTATTTTGCTGTTTTACATTTTGGGTCTCATTTAATTTTACCCACGTGACAAAGGGGCCGTATTCCTAAAGATTCTCAGTGCTTAGAGTTGCTCCTAGTGGCCACATTCTAAGAATATTCTTAGAATCTTGACATATTCCTAAAGAATCCTTGCTCTTAACATTCACTGCCGTATATAAAGCAGCATCCCTCATACTGCCGGAGATTGTGGATGTTTTTAGTGTTTTTCCAAACCTCATATAAATGTGAGCCCTTAGTATGTTAAACATGTGTTAAACAGACACATTCTGGTGATCACTTAACCTCCTGGATGGACGTCAATATGATGTCACATTAACATGTGCTTTACAAGTTCATAAAAACACTGTTACAGATGCATGTCTAAAAGCACACACACACACACACACACACACACACACACACACACACACACACACACACACACACACACACACACACACACACACACACACACACATCCAAGGGCCTAAATGCCTCTTTTCTTGCAGTAAGGCCCTGAGCTCATATCGTCAGATGAAGAGGAAGTATCGTGAGCACGTGTGGAGGCTGGAGCAGAAGGTTGTGGCCATGATGGAGGCCCCAGGTGGACAACAGGCCCTAAACTCTCCTGCAGGGGGCCCTGACTGGAGGAGAGAGGAGACAGTCTTATAAACACTCAATTCAATTCAAATATTTGTTATAAATCACAACCGTAGTTATCTCAGAGGTCTTTACAAAGTTGTTGATTCGCCAACACAGATCAGAGAATAAAACACAAACACAGAAAAATTCAACAATAAAAAACACAGAGCCTTTGGTCCATAAGGAGGAAAAGACCAATGTCCAGGCAGTTCATCTGATGTGCATAAATGTGGTTCAGTGTCGAATGTCCCGTAGTGTCAGGGTTTTTAGCAACATAATTATTGCAATGTTTTTATGCATTAATGATTAAGACATATTCTGCCCCACCTTTAGACCCTGCCCCTGCCTTTAATGTGTCCGATACATCACAGGAGAACTAGAACATGAGTCAACTCTGTCTAGTCCATTTATATGTGATGTCCACTTCAATCCCATGGACATTGTTTTTAAAGTAGGGAACCCCATACCTCCGGGGCATCTCCGGGACCGCGGGGTACAGAGGGCTGTCCGGTCCATGTATGACCGGAGTCAAAGCTGCATTTGCACCAGCAGTAAGTCAGACCTGTTCCCGGTGCATGTTGGCCTCCGCTAAGGCTGTCCTTTGTCCCAGGTTAGATTCACTGTTTTTATTGACAGAATTTCTAGGCACAGCAGGGACTAGAGCCCGGTTCAGTGACCACAGGATAGTATCTCTGCTGTTTACAGACGATGTTGCCCTATTGGCTTCAACCAACCAGGACCAACCAGGAGGTTTTCAGCCAAGTGTGAAGCAACAGGGAAGAAGGTCAGCATCTCCAAATCTGAGGCCATGGCGCTCGGATAAGAGGTCATTCCTCAAGTGGAGGAGTATCTCGGGCAAAGCTCTCGATTTACCGGCATCTACATTCCTACTCTTACCCATGAAGAAAAGACAGGCAACATTCAACTGCTTCAGCCAGTTTATAATATTTGTGCATCTTTAATTACATTAAGGTGCAATCTATTGCTGGAAGTAGTATGTGGTTGTTACTTTAATGAACCGTGAGACAGATTATATGTATGTAATATATGGGAAAATAATGAATCATGGCAGTGATGCCAAAAATAATCTTATCACATTTATTTATGTAATTAAACACACTTTTTATTTTTAAAAATAAAGTTTTATTACACACCATTCATTTCTGAGTGACTGATTACTATACGGCACAAATATAGTTATCTTTACATCTTTATATTTTATTTACTGCTCACATTTGCCCTCTGACCTCTCCTCGGGGCAATGACCAAAAGGTACAAGTGGTCCAAGGGGTTTCTTCCAGCAGAGTGACTGAGCGATCCTCAGAGGAGCTGAGGTGAGTAGAGGCCTCTGTTTATGACCTGGAAAACTGGAAAATCGTTGGAAAGCATTATTTTTTCCATTTATTGTCACAAATTGCCACTTTTTTGTTGCATTGTGCTTACATATCTTGGCTCCTGTTAGTGTCTTTTATTGTGGGAATTAAACCAGGCAGATCTCAGTGAAAAAGAAGTGCAGCCACATTTGCATCGTTCATAGGGCCAAATAGTGTTGTCACATATTTACATCCAAAGTTGACATGATGTTAACATACAACAGCACAGTCCCGCGGTGGTAGGATATTTATTAAATCTAAAACTTATCTTAGTTTTTAAAGTACTGTGAGAAAAGTCCATTTAGCATGTTCTGTTCCCCCCTGTCCTCCCGGAGTGTAGCGCAGCTGTCTCTAGCCAGTTAAACCACATTTTTTTCTGAGTTGCTTTGCATATAAAAGGCCTTTCCAGCACAAAACCCACAATCTAAACCATTAGCCTTCCACCATGACCTGCGTTGGGCTTCGTCATTATTTTTCTAATCATCTCCATGCTCATCTCAATCGGCCTTTCCCCGTCCGGCAGCTGGAAGCGGTCAGGAGGTTAAGGCAAAGGCTGTGAGTCACGCCCGCGGGTCAGGGGAGGGGGGGGGGGTGTCAGAGGAGGGGGGTGGGAGGGGGCTGTTGTGTTTGCCACTGATGCAGAGTTCACAAAGGCCAGACAAGCAGCCGCGACTTCTGACCTCTCCTGCAGAAGGCAAAGGCCACGGGAGGAACCACCTCTGCTGTTGTTGCAAGGCTGGGTCATTAAAGCACATGACACAGATATCGTCCATCTCAGATCCATGTTTGGACTTCATCAGAGGGGTTTCAATCACAGGACCAAGCTGACCTCAGTCGACTGCTTACAGAGGGGTTTCAGTCACAGGACCAAGCTGACCTCAGTCGACTGCTTACAGAGGGGTTTCAGTCACAGGACCAAGCTGACCTCAGTCGACTGCTTACAGAGGGGTTTCAGTCACAGGACCCAGCTGACCTCAGTCGACTGCTTACAGAGGGGTTTCAGTCACAGGACCAAGCTGACCTCAGTCGACTGCTTACAGAGGGGTTTCAGTCACAGGACCAAGCTGACCTCAGTCGACTGCTTACAGAGGGGTTTCAGTCACAGGACCCAGCTGACCTCAGTCGACTGCTTACAGAGGGGTTTCAGTCACAGGACCAAGCTGACCTCAGTCGACTGCTTACAGAGGGGTTTCAGTCACAGGACCAAGCTGACCTCAGTCGACTGCTTACAGAGGGGTTTCAGTCACAGGACCAAGCTGACCTCAGTCGACTGCTTACAGAGGGGTTTCAGTCACAGGACCAAGCTGACCTCAGTCGACTGCTTACAGAGGGGTTTCAATCACAGGACCAAGCTGACCTCAGTCGACTGCTTACAGAGGGGTTTCAATCACAGGACCAAGCTGACCTCAGTCGACTGCTTACAGAGGGGTTTCAATCACAGGACCAAGCTGACCTCAGTCGACTGCTTACAGAGGGGTTTCAGTCACAGGACCAAGCTGACCTCAGTCGACTGCTTACAGAGGGGTTTCAGTCACAGGACCCAGCTGACCTCAGTCGACTGCTTACAGAGGGGTTTCAGTCACAGGACCAAGCTGACCTCAGTCGACTGCTTACAGAAGGGTTTCAGTCACAGGACCAAGCTGACCTCAGTCGACTGCTTACAGAGGGGTTCCAGTCACAGGACCAAGCTGACCTCAGTCGACTGCTTACAGAGGGGTTTCAGTCACAGGACCAAGCTGACCTCAGTCGACTGCTTACAGAGGGGTTTCAGTCACAGGACCAAGCTGACCTCAGTCGACTGCTTACAGAGGGGTTTCAGTCACAGGACCAAGCTGACCTCAGTCGACTGCTTACAGAGGGGTTTCAGTCACAGGACCAAGCTGACCTCAGTCGACTGCTTACAGAGGGGTTTCAGTCACAGGACCAAGCTGACCTCAGTCGACTGCTTACAGAGGGGTTTCAGTCACAGGACCAAGCTGACCTCAGTCGACTGCTTACAGAGGGGTTTCAGTCACAGGACCAAGCTGACCTCAGTCGACTGCTTACAGAGGGGTTTCAGTCACAGGACCAAGCTGACCTCAGTCGACTTCTTACAGAGGGGTTTCAATCACAGGACCAAGCTGACCTCAGTCGACTGCTTACAGAGGGGTTTCAATCACAGGACCAAGCTGACCTCAGTCGACTGCTTACAGAGGGGTTTCAGTCACAGGACCAAGCTGACCTCAGTCGACTGCTTACAGAAGGGTTTCAGTCACAGGACCAAGCTGACCTCAGTCGACTGCTTACAGAGGGGTTTCAGTCACAGGACCAAGCTGACCTCAGTCGACTGCTTACAGAGGGGTTTCAGTCACAGGACCCAGCTGACCTCAGTCGACTGCTTACAGAGGGGTTTCAGTCACAGGACCAAGCTGACCTCAGTCGACTGCTTACAGAAGGGTTTCAGTCACAGGACCAAGCTGACCTCAGTCGACTGCTTACAGGGGGTTCCAGTCACAGGACCAAGCTGACCTCAGTCGACTGCTTACAGAGGGGTTTCAGTCACAGGACCAAGCTGACCTCAGTCGACTGCTTACAGAGGGGTTTCAGTCACAGGACCAAGCTGACCTCAGTCGACTGCTTACAGAGGGGTTTCAATCACAGGACCAAGCTGACCTCAGTCGACTGCTTACAGAGGGGTTTCAATCACAGGACCAAGCTGACCTCAGTCGACTGCTTACAGAGGGGTTTCAGTCACAGGACCAAGCTGACCTCAGTCGACTGCTTACAGAGGGGTTTCAGTCACAGGACCAAGCTGACCTCAGTCGACTGCTTACAGAGGGGTTTCAGTCACAGGACCAAGCTGACCTCAGTCGACTGCTTACAGAGGGGTTTCAGTCACAGGACCAAGCTGACCTCAGTCGACTGCTTACAGAGGGGTTCCAGTCACAGGACCAAGCTGACCTCAGTCGACTGCTTACAGAGGGGTTTCAGTCACAGGACCAAGCTGACCTCAGTCGACTGCTTACAGAGGGGTTTCAGTCACAGGACCAAGCTGACCTCAGTCGACTGCTTACAGAGGGGTTTCAGTCACAGGACCAAGCTGACCTCAGTCGACTGCTTACAGAGGGGTTTCAGTCACAGGACCAAGCTGACCTCAGTCGACTGCTTACAGAGGGGTTTCAGTCACAGGACCAAGCTGACCTCAGTCGACTGCTTACAGAGGGGTTTCAGTCACAGGACCAAGCTGACCTCAGTCGACTGCTTACAGAGGGGTTTCAGTCACAGGACCAAGCTGACCTCAGTCGACTGCTTACAGAGGGGTTTCAATCACAGGACCAAGCTGACCTCAGTCGACTGCTTACAGAGGGGTTTCAGTCACAGGACCAAGCTGACCTCAGTCGACTGCTTACAGAGGGGTTTCAATCACAGGACCAAGCTGACCTCAGTCGACTGCTTACAGAGGGGTTTCAGTCACAGGACCAAGCTGACCTCAGTCGACTGCTTACAGAGGGGTTTCAGTCACAGGACCAAGCTGACCTCAGTCGACTGCTTACAGAGGGGTTTCAGTCACAGGACCAAGCTGACCTCAGTCGACTTCTTACAGAGGGGTTTCAGTCACAGGACCAAGCTGACCTCAGTCGACTGCTTACAGAGGGGTTTCAATCACAGGACCAAGCTGACCTCAGTCGACTGCTTACAGAGGGGTTTCAGTCACAGGACCAAGCTGACCTCAGTCGACTGCTTACAGAGGGGTTTCAGTCACAGGACCCAGCTGACCTCAGTCGACTGCTTACAGAGGGGTTTCAGTCACAGGACCAAGCTGACCTCAGTCGACTGCTTACAGAGGGGTTTCAGTCACAGGACCAAGCTGACCTCAGTCGACTGCTTACAGAGGGGTTTCAGTCACAGGACCAAGCTGACCTCAGTCGACTGCTTACAGAGGGGTTTCAATCACAGGACCAAGCTGACCTCAGTCGACTGCTTACAGAGGGGTTTCAGTCACAGGACCAAGCTGACCTCAGTCGACTGCTTACAGAGGGGTTTCAATCACAGGACCAAGCTGACCTCAGTCGACTGCTTACAAGTGGATGACACACACTACATGTGTCATCCTCCCTCCGGCTCGCACTGATGATCGATCATTTACATTGTTTAAAGAGCAAATACTAAGTTAACTTTACTTTGTTCCTCAAGTCTTTTTGTTGGATTGATAGTACTGCTGCTTAGATTTAGGCAGACAGTTATTTCAACAATGTGAAACAGACAAAAGGTGGAGGCCTGAAGCACTTTAAGAGAATATAGGGGAACGTTTGTTTCTGAAGCGAGGTCGCTGCATAAAAAGTTCAATTCAGTCGTGAACAAAGCATTTCTGCTATTTTGGTGCTGAAAGGCTTAGCTAAATAGAATGGAGAGACAGCCACCTCAGGTTGTAGAGTAATTTTAAACATGCATTTAATTTTTTTTTTTTATGAGTTAATCAATTTGCAGATAATTAAAATAATATATATATATTATATCTCCACGATGGGCCCTGGCCTGTGTACTGTATTGTGCATGTCGTGCATCGTGGTAATGAGTCATTTCCAAATTCAAAACCACGGTAAAGAAGGCGATCTTTATGCATCTTTGGGCTTTAAGTTGATTAACCTTTGTGTGTGAAAAGCCCCGCCTCACAGTCTCCAGCGTGTTTAAACATGTGAAAAAGCGGTGTAATATTTAGCCACATGATATTTGCCGGGGGTGGACTGCATCAGCGCAGCAGTCAGTGAACCGCAGTCTCCTGACCTCGTCCACGGCTTATCTCTGTCTGATAAACGGTTGTTGTGGTGCAAGACTTTCAAACGGCCTCATGAGCAGTGAAAAGTCATGGGAAAACATTAGTGAAACTTCTGAATGTTGACCTTTGAAATTAATATCGCACTGAGAAACACTGTGTGTGGTGGATTTTTGTTTCTTTGGAATTTGCAAGTTCACATTTGACCAAAATTCACACAAGAGAAGAATATGTCTTTTGTGCATTTTAACACTTTATAACAAATGATACAATACTCACATTATCTACATAGTTAAAAAATTGCAGAACTGACATATTTACAAATAGTTTGGCAGTGGGTAGATTTGTTTAATGTGTGACCCAGGAATTGGCACATCCAAAAAAGTCAAAAAAATCATTATTGTAGACTGTGTTTACAGAACACCTGGATCTGAACTGGAAAAAAGACATTCCTAAAAACAAAAATACATGATGTGTGGAGACTGTATGATTATTGACCTGTACAATCCCAGGGAACATAAAAATACAGAAGATTTCATGTTTTTTCCCATGGGTCTGTATCCCCCGAGAATTTCAATACTGTGAAACTTTGATAAATAATATGTTTCGTAACATTTTAGAACAAAAATGCATTTATCCTTCCAGCTCTGGAGAGTTGGAAGGATAAATGCATTTTGTTGAAAATCCAAAGTTTGTGTCTGACAGTGAAGATGGATTTGGGTTAAACAGATTGAAGAACTGCTGATGTATTGGGGGAAAACATTTGTATTAAGAATTTCACTGATCTTCGAAAAGCTTTTCATATGATTAAGTATTAATCCTAATATCTTGACAAACAAAATTAAGATCAATGGCATAAGTGAAATAAACGACAGAGTCAAGTGACCGAGACGTTTGGAGAGATCCGGTCATTTATCAAACTAAAGGATCCTTTCCTTGGCGGTCGGTGAATGACCGGGGGTTGGGACCACGGTCAGAAAGGACATAGAGGATTGCTGTGGAAGAAGTAGACTGCAATACATAATCTCAACACTAGATGGGAGTAAGTGCATCTTTAACGTGGATGGGGAGCTGATTCCACAGTTCAGGAGATTGTGCTTTCTGACAAGGCAGATTCAGCAGTGGCTGAGTGGATAGCACTCTCGCTTCTCACCAAGAAGGTCTTGGGTTCAAATCCCGGTCGGAACAGGGTCTTTCAGAGTGAAGTTTGCATATTATCCCCGTGCTTGCTCAGGTTTCCTCCGGGTGCTCCGGTTTCCTCTACCTCTAAAAACATACACACATAGGTAAGCCTCCAGCTCTGGTCCTGACCAAGCCGAGCATCAACATCTAACATAATGCTAACATTATCGAGTGTGATTATCTGATCAACGATGGACTCTTAGGGTCTTTAATGCAGGCACTAAGCCTTTCTAACTGCTCCATCTGGTTTGGTTTTATGGACGGGTAAAGCTGTGTGTCATCTGCAGAGCAGTGGAAGTTAATATCATGCTTTTTAATTATGTTGCCTAATGCCTAATGATACCGATCCGATAAACAGGGTTTAAACCAGCGGCTGTTCCTCTAAGACCTATGTCACATTCTAGCCTCTGCAGTAGAATGCTGTGGTCTATTGTGTCAAATGCAGCACTAAGGTCCAGTAGGACCAGCACTGACACTTGTCCATTATCGGCAGCTAGTAGTAAGTCATTTGTGACTTTGACTAGTGCCGTTTCAGTGCTATGATGAGCTCTGAATCCTGATTGAAAGACTTCAAACATATTATTTTTCTGCAGGTGACGATATAGTTGTTAAAGGATTTTAGATATAAAATTGGTCTGTAGTGTTATTAATTCGGGGTCTTTTTATTCAGTTAAATCTATGTTCATGCTTTGAAGTGTCACAAAGTACGCTGTTCTCAAATAAATGTTGTTCCTGCATGAATACTGAGAGAAAGGTGCACCTTAGCTTGTGCTGGAGCAGCAGCTAGTAGGACAGGGGACAGAGGATTCATGGGAAAGGATCCAAGCCATGATTGGACGTTGAGTGTGGAGGTGGACAGACAGAAGGAAGAAGAGGAGGAGGGACCAAAGGTTTTAGGTCAACTCATTTACTATGTCCGTCTATCCCTCGCTTTAATACGGCCATCCTAAGCCCAATAAAGAGATCAGGCCTGTTGCCATCAGTGGGTCCCGGACTGTTCACCGCAGCGGAAAGGAAAGTATTATTTGGGAAATATTCTAGGACACATACAGCTGTGCTTGAAAGTTTACTTACCCATCGATAATTGTCCTAGTTTCGGTTTTCATTTTAGAGATTATGAATGAGAAATTATTATTTTTCCCACACATTAATAGTCGGTGTATACAATGATAACATATTTGAGCTGCTCAGGAAAAATCTTAGGCTGCAGTCACAGGCACCTAAAGCCCGGTTAAAGTGGGGCTAGGCCCAGATTAGATCCGGGCTTTAGGTGCCGTGTGGCCGCAGTAAATGGGCTTGGGCATGTTTGCTGCCATCGTGGGCAAGACTGGGAGAGGTAGGCCTCACGTCTTCACCGACTCCTGAAGAAGTGAGTTTATTCATGCTTGAAGAAATATACGCTTTATTATGTCAAACAGTTGACAGATATATTGGGCCAATAGTTCCATCCATTTTCTTCCGCTTTATCCGTTGCCGGGTCGCGGGGGCAGCAGTCTAAGCAGAGACGCCCAGACTTCCCTATCCACACACACTTCCTCCAGCTCGTCCGGGGGGACCCCAAGGCGTTCCCAGGCCAGCTGAGAGACATAGTCCCTCCAGCGTGTCCTAGGTCTTCCGCGGGGCCTCCTCCCGGTGGGACGTGCCCGGAACACCTCCCCAGGGAGGGGTCCAGGAGGCATCCGGAACAGATGCCCGAGCCACCTCAACTGGTTCCTCTCGACGTGGAGAAGCAGCGGCTCTACTCCGAGCTCCTCCCGTGTGACCGAGCTCCTCACCCTATCTCTAAGGGAGCGCCCAGCCACTCTGCGGAGGAAGCTCATTTCGACTGCTTGTATCCGCGATCTCGTTCTTTCGGTCATTACCCACAGCTCATGACCATAGGTGAGGGAGGGAACGAAGATTGACCGGTAAATCGAGAGCTTTGCCTTTCGGCTCAGCTCCCTCTTTACCACAACGGTCCGATACAGCGACCGCATCACTGCGCACGCTGCACCGATCCGCCTGTCAATCTCACGCTCCATCCTTCCCTCACTCGTGAACAAGACCCCGAGATACTTGAACTCCTCCACTTGAGGAAGGACCTCTCCACCCACCTGCAGAGGGCAAGGCACCTTTTTCCGGTCGAGCACCATGGCCTCGGATTTGGAGGTGCTGATTCTCATCCCAGCCGCTTCACACTCGGCTGCAAACCGTCCCAGTGCATCCTGAAGGTCCTGGTTCGTTGGAGCCAACAGGACAACATCGTCCGCAAACAGCAGAGATGAAATCCTGTGGTCTCCGAACCGGACCCCCTCCGACCCCTGGCTGCGCCTAGATATTCTGTCCATAAATACAGTGAACAGAACCGGTGACAAAGGGCAGCCCTGTCGGAGGCCAACATTCACCGGGAACAGGTCTGACTTACTGCCGGCAATGCGAACACAGCTCTGGCTTCGGTCATACAGGGATCGGATGGCCCTCAGCAGAGGACCTCCGACCCCGTACTCCCGGAGAACCCCCCAAAGGACACCCCGGGGAACACAGTCGAATGCCTTCTCCAAATCCACAAAGCACATGTGGACTGGTTGGGCGAACTCCCATGAACCCTCGAGTATCCGATGGAGAGTATAGAGCTGGTCAGGTGTTCCGCGACCGGGACGAAAACCACACTGCCCCTCCTGGATCCGAGATTCGACCATCGGCCGTAGCCTCCTCTCCAGTACCTTGGAGTAGACCTTACCGGGGAGGCTGAGGAGTGTGATCCCACGATAATTGGAACACACCCTCCGGTCCCCCTTCTTGTAGAGAGGGACCACCACCCCGGTCTGCCACTCCATTGGCACTGCCCCCGATCGCCACGCGATGTTGCAGAGACGTGTCAGCCAAGACAGTCCTACAACATCCAGAGACTTTAGATAATCAGGGCGGATCTCATCCACCCCCGGAGCCTTGCCACCATGGAGGCTACCAACCACCTTGGTGACCTCAGCCAGGGAGATGGATGTATCCGCCCCAACATCCTCAGCCTCTGCCTCTGTAACGGAGGACGTGACGGGGGGATTGAGGAGAACCTCAAAGTATTCCTTCCACCGCCCGACAATATCCCCAGTCGAGGTCAGCAGCTCTCCACCCGCACCGTACATGGTGTTGGCAAAGAACTGCGTCCCCCTCCTGAGGCGCCGGATGGTTTGCCAGAA